TTTCCCCTTGTATACTGGGATAATTATACTTCTTCGCCAGTCCTCGGGTATAGTACCTTCTGTGACAATCTGATTTGCTAAATTCATTAACCATTCAATCCCTAAATCATCAGAACCTTTAAACATCTCTGATACCACCATCGTTAAACCCGATGCCTTCCCTTTCTTCATCTTTTTCACTGCTCTCCTTATCTCGTCCTTGCCAAATTTACACCCTGGACCTTCTACCTTTGCACAACTAATATTATTATTCCATTCATTTTCTTCATTCAAAAGTCCTTTCATGTAAATCTTCCAGGTGTTCTTAATACCACTACTATCAATCGTCATTTTTCCTTCCATATTTTTCAAACACTTTACACCTATCACATCCTGCCTCTTTTTTGACATCTGTTTTGCCATTCTAACCATATTTCCAATTCCATCAGCGCATTTCATTTCTTTAGCAAACTCGTGTCTTTTTTCTTCTTGAGCCTTCGCTATTAATTTCTTAGCATTTCTTTTAGCCATCTTGTAAATATCATTATCACTATTTTCTTTGCTATTATACCATACTTTGAAACACCTCCGTGTCTCATCCACGGCTTTCGCTACCTCTGGGCTCCACCACCAAGTCTCCTTATGTCTAGGCGGCCCTTTTGTCCATCCACATACCTCCTCAGTTGTCATTACCCAAGCTTTCTTCATGGCTTCCCACTTGTCATTCACCCCAGATGCTTGTGCCACCTCCGCCTCCCTAATCGCCAATGCCATATTGAATTGACGTCTAGCATTCTCCTCCTTCAATTTCCAAACCTTCAGCCTTGGGACAAACTTTCTTTTAGTGACCCTGGCACCTTTAAGAGTGAGATCTCCTACAACTAGTCGATGCTGATTTATACATTCCTCTCCCGGTATCACTTTCACATTTTTTATTATACATCGATCACATCTCCTTAATAACAAGTAATCCACAACACTTTTGGTACTACCCGACTTATAAGTCACCAGCTTCTCTGATTCTTTCTTAAACATTGTATTACAAACAATCATATCCATAGCATCACTAAATTCTAAAATCCTCTCTCCTTCCAAATTTCTCATGCCGTAACTGAACCCTCCATGTACTCCTTCATAACCCTCACTACTCGCTCCCACATGTCCAATCAGATCGCCAGCCAGGATAATCCCCTCTTCATTTGCCAGTATCGATGTCACCCCCAATAGACTGTCCCAAAATACATCTTTCTCTTCTTCACTTCTTCCAACCTGAGGAACATATGCCGAGATCATATTATATAGCTTTCTACCAATAATCATCTTGATAACCATTATCTGGTTGTCTAGCCTTCTCACTTCGACTACTTTGTCTACCAATTTCTCCGCAACCAATACCCCAACTCCAGCCTTACCATCATTACCTCCTTGCCAAAAGAATTTATACTTTTCGCTAGTCTTGCCAATCATTCTGGTCCCATTTCCTTTCCATCTAGTCTCCTGTATGCAGCACACATCTATATGTCTTCTGTGCAATACATCGACGACTTCTCCCGCTCTTCCCGTCATACTCCCAACATTCCATGTCGCGACCCTAACTCGAACACCCGTAAACTGGTTTCTCCACTTTTTATCAGGTCGTTTATGGCCGTCATAGGTTTTATTTTCATGAATAGTGGTTCCACCAGGTTTCCCATCCTTCTTTTTGTCGTTGGCGGATGAGGAGGCCCACGGGGTACTTTGGGCTGTACCCCGCCCATGCTTTGTTGTAACCATAGGGAAATTTTTGTAGCATGGTTTTTACAATCGGATGCCCTTCCTGACATCAACCTCTTTAAATGGTTTTTACACCCCGTCGAGGAGACGGTGATCCTATTCTAGACCCAGATCACAGGGAACCTTTTAGACCTCCATTTGCCGCCAAAAGACGTTGCCACTCCCCCGCCACGATGAGGCTGAAGGTAGGATTTTGGGAGAGATAGCAAAATTGCACAACCAATAGATGCAAATGCAAGGCATCTAAAATGTCTTGCAACTCACATTGTCATGCTACAAATAATAAATGATAATTTTATATTTATATTGTATTATATTGATAATAAAAAAATGAGTTGTAAATATTGTTTTTTCTATTGTGAAGATACAAAATCTTAAAAGATCTTATAGGGAAGGCTTGCTACCAGATTTCCGTTAATAATATAGTGTAAAAATATATTTTAATAATATTAAGAAGCAGATAAATATGATGGGGGTGGGGGGGGGGAGAAAAAATTCCCACCCATTTTACCAAATGTGTCTGATTTGGTAAATTTTTTTTAAAATAATAAAGAATTTACCCCTATCAAATAACTAAAAGTGCGTATATGATGTAACAAAAATATAAAAATAATGGCCTTATAAAAATAATGACCTTATAAAATTTGTGAGAAATATTTTACAAAAAGATTATAAACCCGAAGAAAATTTAAAACATAAATTGGCCAAAGGCCTTCTCAAAGAGAGAGCCTAGCATAATTCAATAAAATATAGTAAAAAAAATTATCTAAAGGCCTTCATTTTTCGAAAAAAACTTAGAATGTTTGGTGTATAATCTTAGTAATTGTTTAAAATAAATATAAATATGAGGGCTAACTTTGAAAATGCTAAAATTAATTTCGTAATTATATTCATTTTCGAAAAGCTATTTAATACTTTGATAGATTTAAATTTCAATAGTAGCTCTAACTTGTAATTTCAGATCATTCACTAAAGTGAATAAATATTTAAAATGTATTTACTCACAGAATTGAAATAAATAAGTCAAAAATATTATAGTTAGTTGATATACAAATAACCGATGCAGGATTCTATATTTAAATATATTTCGTAGTTAACATTTTAGGAAAAAATAAATTAATCTTACAATTATTTTAATCTTATATTGGTCTACTATTATAAATTATATTATAAAAACATTTCCGGATGTTATGAAGATTAAAGTTTAATCATAATAGTGAAATTTATTATCATTTGAAGTGATAAATGTTTTATTAATAAAATCTTGAATTTAATCAAATCAAGGAATGACGATTTGCAGGAAAATATCTCGTCATTAATTTTGAATATATAAATAAAAGCGAATTTAGGATCATTATTGTTGATATTACTGTTAGTGACTTAAAAATATAAAACATATCTAAACTGAAATTTTAATTTAACATGTTTACAAAACATATTTTTACCCATTTAATTTAAAAAAATTTTAAAAAGTTCAAAAATAACGATTATGACAATTGTCACTTTTCTATTATACACTTTCCCTGAAATATTAATTTAATATGTTTACAAAACATATTTTTACCCATTTACTTTAAAAAAACTCAAAAAAGTTCAAAAATAACGATTATGATCATTGTCACTTTTCTATAATACACTTTCACTGAAATATTAATTTAACATGTTTCCAAAACATATTTTTACCCATTTACTTTAAAAAAACTTCAAAAATAACGATTATGACAATTGTCACTTTTCTATAATACACTTTCCCTGAAATATTAATTTAATATGTTTACAAAACATATTTTTACCCATTTACTTTAAAAAAACTCAAAAAAGTTCAAAAATAACGATTATGACAATTGTCACTTTTCTATAATACACTTTCACTGAAATATTAATTTAACATGTTTACAAAACATATTTTTATCCATTTACTTTAAAAAAAGTTTAAAAATAACGATTATGACAATTGTCATTTTTCCATAGTACACTTTCACTGAAATATTAATTTAACATGTTTACAAAACATATTTTTACCTATTTACTTTAAAAAATCTAAAAAAAGTTTAAAAATAACGATTATGACAATTGTCACTTTTCCATAGTACACTTTCACTGAAATTTTAATTTAATATGTTTACAAAACATATTTTTACCCATTTACTTTAAAAAATCTAAAAAAAGTTTAAAAATAACGATTATGACAATTGTCACTTTTCCATAGTACACTTTCACTGAAGTATTAATTTAATATGTTTACAAAACATATTTTTACCAATTTACTTTAAAAAATCTAAAAAAAGTTTAAAAATAACGATTATGACAATTGTCACTTTTCTATAGTACACTTTCACTGAAATATTAATTTAACATATTTACAAAACATATTTTTATCTATTTGCTTTAAAAAAACTCAAAAAAGTTCAAAAATTACGATTAGGACATTTGTCACTATTACCTAAAAAATTATCTATCAAAAGATATATAATAATCATTTTTAAAAAAATATTAAAGAATATCAATCAAAAAAATATATTTAAAAAAATTTATTAAAAAAATATATTAAAAAACATCAATCAAAAAAATTTATTAAAAAAAATCATATAAACACAAAAAATTAAAAATATAAAAAAAAATATCAATCAAAAATATATATTTAAAAATATTAATTTAAAAAATCATATAACACAAAAAAAAATATTAAAATAAATATCAATCAAAAAAATATATTTAAAAAAATTTTATTAAAAAAACATATAACACAAAAAATAAAAAAAATTAGCGATCAAAAAATATATTGTAACAAATTAAAATATATTTAAAAAAAACTATAATATTAATCTTAAAAAATTATTAATAATAACGAAAAAATTATTAATAATATAATATTACAAAAACACATTGCCTGATTTAACCCGGCAATGTGCACATTACCTGGTTATTTCGGCAATGTATACTTTGCTGAAATAACAAAATTACCCTGCCTACCACATTGCCGGAATTTTCACATTGCCGCTAACATATATACTACCAACATACAAATTTTTTTAAAAATCGAAGAGAGTCGGTAGAGAATCTACTTTTTTTGGTTGATAACATACAATATATATATAATAAAGTTAAAAATTCAAAATAAAAAAAATGTTTTATATTAGTTTATTTTAAGAAACAAAAAAAATAAGTAACGGCAGAGAGATAAACAGAGAAAGAAGAGAAAAAAATATATATCTTGAAATCAGTTTTACTTTAAAAAAAATTTGCAGGAAAAAATTTGCCAGGGAACGACAGAAGAAAATTATGAATTCTTACGTTTCGAAACAGAAAAAATTTATTCAACACGTATCTCAAAGTTATTTTTATTAGATATTAAATAGCATTTTATTAATCTTGATGTCGGTTTTAACTCAATATTTAACGCATTTTTGATTATCTTCACCCTTATCACAAGTTATATATCCACAAAACATTTTTAATCTTTCATTCCTCTCTTTGTGATTATGATGTCTTGGATTTAAAAAATAATGAAATATATAATAAATAAAGATTATATAATTGGTTGCCATTTAGCGTGAGGCGGAATTTTTTAAAAAATAATCTAAATAACGGACCCGTCCCAACAAAATAATTTTTTATTCATTTTTATAAATCACCGTTTTACTGAGTTTCGTTCTTTTGTTTTTTTGATCGATACATTATGTAATGACCCTTAAAAAAGGCAGAGTGAAAATTTTTGGACCTTTGGTCACATAATACCTTAATCTCTGATTATTTTAATTAGATTCAGAGACATAATGAGATTACTCTATTTTGTTGACACCAACACTTACAAAAATAAGATATAAATGAATTATTTTATTTTGATCCTGATTAGAGGTTAAGCGTTCCCTTGCTCAAACTGGTCCACGAGCTGGACAACATGTCCAAATATTTTTACTGGCCAGGTCGGAAGTTCGCAAATTTCTCATGGCTTACAATTAGGCAAATATGTTACTTTTTCTTCATAAGAAATTATTAGTGACTTGATCTGTCACAATTTATAAAATTATTTTATTGTAGGCAAAAAGTGGTATGGACCGCGCCGAAAATTGTTTTTTAAAATATTCCCCTGCTGTTGAGGCCAACCTCTAATCCTGATATATGATTCCGAGCTTCGATGATTATTTTATTATGGTGATTTAATTTTTATCGCCCTCAATTAGTTTTTTTTTCTTTCATATCCCTAGTTGCCTCTGAATCCTTTCATTGTTTTCTTTTTTTTCTGAAATGCAATATTACATTAGATCCCAACCTATTTTCCCATCCTTCCTCAACTACTATCGATATTTCTAATTCACCCTCTAACACGGAACTTTCTGGCCAACGTGTTCTCGAGCCATCCTTTCTTGACCAGGATTCAAGTGCCAAAGAACAAAGCAAACGTGAAGGTTAGTTTTATTTTCGATCGCCTTACATTATTAAAGATATAAATAAATGTTTTTTCAAAAAAATGGAGATGGAACCAGTGTTTAAGAAAAAAAAATAAGTTTTTTCACCCAAAATTTGAGCAAAATATATTTTGAAGATCAAAAAAATTGAAGATTTTAATTTGAGCAACCTCAAAGATGATTTTTGAGCAAAATGAAAATGTTTTTTATAAAAAACATCAAAGGGAAAATCAAAAACCATTTTTCATTTTGCTCAAGAATTTTTTTTGAGCATAATCAAAATCTTCAAAAGGAGGATCTTTGAAGATTTTTATTTTTTGAACAAATATTAACTGGATAGAACATTGAGCGGTGAAAATTTAAAAAGAAAAAAATGATTATTTTTTATAAGAAACAGAATCATCTATCATCTCGAAACCTACTTTGATAACAGGGACCGAAACATGTGCTATTTGTGGTATGCTAGTTAGACTCGAAGACCGGAATTGCGATCAACCGAGCGGGTTAATAGTTTTCACGAACAATTCCAGTGGTTATTCACTTTATAAAAATATTATATAGACCGATTTAAAAATAATCTTTCCCAGGGCTATTTTACGTATGTTAGGCTTTATGGTAATATGTTAAACGAAATTTAATATAGTTAACAAGGAAATTATAGATGGCTTTAGCATTGCATTCAAATAAATTTTTTATTTTTTTACAGTTTATTGTATAAATAATAACTAAAAAAAATTAGAAATAGCTGTTAAGATCGTGTCAATTTACAAGCCATTAATATAATTTCAGGTTTTTATTTAAATTTTCTTAATATTTCTTAAAAATTAGGTAAACAGTTTATTTATTTTTCACCATAATTTCTATATCAATTATGTTTAAAAATTAAATAAATAAAAAATTCTTCCAAAATCTGAATATTTATTTGTTTTTTTAACCCTAATCACTCTGGTTAGAGTCTAATACATATCTGTTCCTCCTTTTCAGCTTTTTTAAAATTTACCCATATAATCTCATGGTCTTTTTTTCTTTTTTAAGCCATTTTAAATGTCGACTTATCTTCCCAGATAAAACAGTCACTCCATGTATGGTTACCAAATTCTATATTTTCTGAATTCATTGGCAGATACATAATGTTTTTGTTGAAAATATTGTTTTTTTATAAATGTAGTCGTAATAGATATTAAATTAACCAAATTTCCCAATAGTACAAATTTCTTCGATTTATTATTATATTATTTATAATTGTGTTTTGGAAATCGGTATTTATTTCGGCCACTTTCATATTACAGAATATCTATTCAAAACTGTTACCGTAATCATTTATATTATATTTCATAAAAATTTATTCTCCCTCAAGTTCTGGGCAAATGTTGGAACCCATATTTGGAAATTCCTGACATATGTGACGTGCCACTCGCAACCCTGAAAAATTCCTCCCATATGGAATCAAATTCAATAGATTATGGCGCCGAATATCATATTCCCCAAGATTCTATCGATACTATAAATTCCATACTTCCCCTAACTAATAACCGTTATCCAGTAGGAAAAAATGCGTTGGATATCGAAGCGCCATCATCTTCCATAACCGCTCCACGGAATGCGGTCCGAAAGGAATTTTATTCAAGCAAACTAAAAGGGGAGAAAGGTATCGACAAATCTATCTTGAACCATATGCGAGGTAACATGGCATCAAACATGGTCAAGGCTTACTCGCAATACTTCGAAGCAGTGAAAAATGAATCCAGTGAAATAGACAATATAAAAAGATTGGGAAGTTTCGATGGTTGGGTCAATTCTCAGATCTTGTCTAATGGGTTGATACCCGAGGTTTTATTATTTATTTTATCCTTCTCTCCCTGAATTTTCGATATATTTTAACTAGGGCTGTACCGATCCACAGATTTTTCACCGATCCCATATTTATATTGATTTTTATTTGCCTTCTATTTTTGTATCAATGTCATAAATTACTTTAACAAAAACCAACTATTCACCAATGATTTAGCGTATTTTATTTTTTTAGTTTTCCTAAGTTGATATTCCCATTTAAAATATTTACAATGTTTATTGGTAAATTTAGTGTTGTTAAACAGCTCCATTTAGCTTGAGCCAAATCAAAATTTTAACTAAAATATTAATAGTTATGCCTCCAAATTTCGCCAATAGAATTCCAACCTTTCTGATATCTGTAGGAAAAATCAATAAGCATGGGTAATTTACTCTTGGTCAAAATTTTGAGTTAATCTTTTTTTAAAATTGGCCAAATCGAGTTGTTTACTAACTGATGTGACTCGTTAGATATTTTAAAATCCTTTTCTTTTTGCAGAGCGAAGTGTAAACAAGACACATGAACTTCATAAAATTCTTAGCATTGACACTTTTTTTTATTACTTATAAATTGACTAGTTGATAACCCATCAAAAATGATGGGAATAAAAAAATCATGAAATATTACAGGAAAATTTTTTTTATTAAATAAAGGAGAACATTCAGTGAATTTTCTAAAATTTGGAGGTAAATTACATTAAATAAGGAGATTGAAAGTATTTCTTTTCCCATTATCTATATAGAAATAGCTGGTAGTAATTGAGGTATCGTTAATAGCCTGGATAACCTGATCGAACGCATGTCGCTGTAAAACATTCAGATTGGATAACGTTACCATTGATACATCTGCTTCTATTATTGGGTCATATAAATTAGACTGAGTGATAGGGTCAGGAGATGGAAGATTAAAATCGTTGCAATTGAACCCAGAACAATCTACACAGGTTAGAAGTATGGAGGATATTCCTGTGGTAGCAAAGGGTAAGACATTTTTTTGTTGTCCTCTGAGATAGTGTAGTAGAGTATTGTAAATATATGTCGTCTTACCTGATCCACCAGGAGCATCTATATAAAAAAATCTGGTAGTAATTGAGGTATTGGCAATAGCCTGGATAACCTGATCAAACGCATGTCGCTGTAAAACATTAACAGGATTCCTTACATAAAGATTTTATGAAAAATATACGTTCACCACCGCAAATTATGGTAGTAGAATTTTTTTTATCTCAACCACAATATGGGAACTTTGCAAATAGTTTAAAATACCTATTTATCAATATCTTCCCATGCCAGAAAATTAACCTTCCTCACTAATCCTAAGTACTTATTATAAATTAGATTTAACAAATAAATTTAAATTATATTTAGCCAATTGAAAAATAAACATTTATCTCATATTACCACCCCAAAATATGCCAGTATAAAAATTTTATCTCAATACAATATTTGAACTCTGGAAATGACATACAATACCAATTTATCAATATCTACCCTACATTTTTAAATATTCTATAATTTGATTTATTCTGTATCTTCTTAAAATACCATCGCAAAATATGGAAGGAAAATTTTTTTTAAGTACTTATTATAATTTAGATTTAACAAATAAATTTAAATTATGTTTAGCCAATTGAAAAATAAACAATTATCCCATATTACCACCCAAATGCCAGTATAAAAATTTTATCTCAACAACAATATTTGAATTCTGGAAGTGACATACAATACTAATTTATCAATATCTACCTACATTTTTAAATATTCTGTTTCTTAAGACTCAAATAAATAAATAAAGTTTGCTTTGTTAATAAAGAAAATAATTAAACATCTGTTCTGTCTCCTATATTCTGGGGCCTTTGGCAGATATACTATTATGTCCTGTTGTAATCATTTCGTTATTAATATCAACATGTGAAATGCAGGTTGAGTATGGGTCATTTGAGACTTTAAAATTATTTTCTGATAACCAGAGGTAAGCTCAAACATGATTTAAATCTTGTGCCAACCTGGTGGTGATTTATTCTGTAATAATATCTATAAAAATTAAACATCTTTTTAATTACTGTCTCCTATATTTTGGGGCCTTTGGCAGTGTCTTGTTGTACTTTACGATTTTTTAATTAAAATAAAAAATGGTTGATTTTAAAATTAAATAATATAAATAACTATAAATCAAAAAAATAAGAGCTTAATAAGCCAATAAAAATAAAGATTAATAAGCCAATAAAAATAAAATTGCATAATAATAATATATATATTAAAGATTATATCACAAATTTTAATATAGAAGGTGGGTGAGTGGGAAGAACGTTTGCCTTTAAAACGTTAAGTCATGGGTTCGAATCCCGTGATGTACAAAAAATTTTCTTAAAATTTAACATTAGAGAGATATAGTCTCCATCGATTTATTTAACATTAAGAAGATAGGAAAGTTGATAGGAAAAATAAAAATTAACATTAAGATGATAGGAAAGTTGATAAGAAAAATAAAAATTAACATTAAGAATATACGAAAACGTTCATTTCTTGATTACGGTGATTATATATATAGATAGTCAGATATTCGATCTAGTTAAATGTTATATACAAATGACCAAATTTTTACCCGTTCATATGTATTTTTTTTATCCATATCAAACAATTATAAATGAAAATATTATTGAACAAGTAATTTTTTTCTAAAATATGTTTTAAAAAAAACTGACATAAAAGCCTTAAAAAATTTATGTGTTTTTTATTTCCCATATATTTTTTAAATTATTAATTCCGAGATTTATAATTTTTTTTATTAATAAAAATTTGACTATCACACACTTGAATATAAAATATTTTATTGAATTCTAAGTAATGAACAAGAATAAATAATATAGAATAAATTGTGGGCGATTGTATAGAATAAGTACGGAAGATTGAAGGTTAAGAATATACCATCAATTGTAGTATGTGGAAACCGTGAAGATTAGGAATATTAATAATTAAGTTCTTTATTTTCAACTAAGATCAAATAAAAACAAAAAAGTGAAAGTAATCATGATCATTTAAGTATATATACAAAATTAACATCAATTTAATATTAAATAAAAATCATTGTATATCTTTTCAAAACATCAATTTAATATTAAATATAATATAATATATCGTTTTAAGCCTTAAGTCTTCTACAATACAAAATCCATTAATAAACATTGTTACTTGTATTTAACACTAAGTATAGGAGGCAATTTAAGGTTGTTGTAAAATTTTATAAAAGATCTGAACCCAAACTCGATACCTATGGAAAATCGGAATCCCTTATGCTTATTTAATCTAAAAACAAAACTTTATTTTATATCAGCAATGGTTATATCTTATCAAAAATTTCGGTTGGGACAAGTACACCCACTTGACTACCTGCGGCCATTACCTGCATTATTCGTGTTATAAATCTTATATGGATACTTTACAGGTAATTTATATATAATATGTATTTATTTAATGTAGTCTCTAGTAAAATCATACTAAAAGTAAGAAACAATGAGTAGGAATAGATAGATTAGATAGATAGATAGATAGATAGATAGATAGATAGATAGATAGATGGGTGGATGGATGGATGGGTGGATCGATAGCTAGATAGAATGTTGAATGAATTTGGCAATAAATGCCGACACAAGTAAATTAGCATCTCTTCGTTTTTTAAAATTGTGAGTCACGAGGTTTAGTGAGTCTGGTTAATGGCAATCTAGTCCACTAAATATTTTTTAAAAATTTTGATTACACCATGCTTACAAGACCATATTTTACAATAATAAATTCTTACGACTCTAGTAATTACAATTAAAAATATTATTGCAAACTACGTTAATTAAGAATCAATCCAATGCATTCAATTCCAGCGTCATATCTAGTCTGGGCGAATTCAATTGCCCCATTTGCCGGCACATCTCCAACCGTCTTATACCCGTGTACTTACCCAAATCGGATAGCCATTTATACATAAGGAATGATCTAAAGAAACGAAAATGTTGTTTTCCTACTAATTCTTCAAACATCTCCGATAACTTTCCTAGTTCATTCAACAATTTTCCCGACTACGATCCCAAAAGTGAGAATAAATATGAGGATGGTATTCCGTACGATGTTGAGAGAAAAAACAATCTAAACAGCTTTATCTTAGAAAGTTTACGTGAATTTTTAAATTTCGATAGCAATAAAAGTATTAACGACAATCCGCTTTTACTAGATAGTGATAATAGTAATAATCTTCTTTTAATGAAGGAATGCGAAATACAATTCGACGAACGCCTTATAGGAGACAATTTCATGCGTTCTGCGTCGGTTCCTTACTTTTCTTTAGACCCTCTTAACCTAAATATTACGGATGATAACGTTCTCAATAGCAATTATACAAATATTTCTCTTAGGGATGATACGGACCGGGATAATACCGTTCCCCCTACGGATGATATTTTGAACATGGACTTTTTGACGGATGATCCTAGCAATGTAATTCAATTAGACTCATCTTCAAATTTTGGCAGCTTGCCTAAATATCAGCTCCTTTATCTCTTTTCTAGACTGTGCTCTGTGCTAAGGTAAGGAATCATATATCATTTTGTATTAAACCGCTTATTATTAAAATATCCTGGTTTCATTATTAGAGTATTCTGTCTTCACTGACAGAATAACATAATAATGCAGATTATTGTGTACTGTAATATTTTAAAGAGATCACCATAATTTATGGAATGGGTGAGGGGTAAGATAGAACAGAAATAAAAAGAAGAAAGATTAATAATTATATTATTTTAATCGAAAATATGATAGAGGCCAGTAAATATATAAGAAACTTAAATTAGATTTTGTCAGAAATGGAAATAGATCACTCCAATCCTCAAGCGGTGATAATAAATTTCTTATTATATTTATTAAATCAATTTCATGTATAATAATCAAGGATTAACCTAGAGGCGGAGTTGGTGAGGCGCCAAATTAACATTACAAAGGATAACACGACCGGCAATAACGACCTTTCTAAGAGATTATTTTTCAGTATTTAAAAAAAAATCTCCATAAAATATCTTTAATTTTTTTAAAGTAATAATACAATTATTATTATGTCATACTCTTTTATTCAAATAAAATTTACATCTTAATTTATAATTTAGCCAAAAAATATATAAGAAATAAAAGGGAGAAAATATTAGGTTTGTTGGGAAAGAGATTAATTCCAATTTTTTTAAAAAAGGTTAATATAATGTTTTTTTATTTATAAATGTATCTAAATAATTGTTTGAATTGCATATAATAAATTTATTAGAAACAGTCTTTTTTATAGAACCGATCATAAGAAAGATAGCATTTAAAATAAAGATAAATCGATATGATCGTCTATTCTAACAGATGTGAACTTATCCCTGATGCTAAAAGAAAAAGTTAATATAAGCTGTATGAGAAGCTGTATAGTCTACGATAGCGAAACCTTGGTGGTGAAGCTAAATTGGGAAGAACAAAGATAAGAATGGTCGATGAATGTGTGGGGTATCTATGAGAGAGAGAAAGAATCAATCAACGAATTGCAGGAGAGAATTAATATAGAAATGGTCCGAAAAGTGATTAGAAGAAAAAGACTAGGGTGGTTTGAGTACGTTTAACGAAAGATGATTTGGTTATAAGAGATGCACTTTGATGGAAGTAATGGGAGCTAGGCCTCGTGGAAGTCCAACAAAGTCGTGGACGAAAGTGATAACGGGTGGCATAAAAAATTTACAGATAACGAAGCCAGAACCGAAATTAGCTTACCCGGGTAAACTGGGAAAACCGCTAATAAACGATAAAGAAGAAGAAATCATTTGTATTTAAAACAAACTGGATACAACTTTGAAATTATGATTATTTTCATACTCAAAACCAATTTAATTCTAGGCTAAAATATTTTAAATTACGCTATATGCTCTTTACAATCCCCTTGACCTTTATGCAAATGTTGAAATAATTTCTTTGCTAAGATTATCTTTGTCTGATTCGATTGCGATGGATACTTAACAAGCATAATGAAGCTAATCTATCACCACATTTTGTTATGAAATTTTTTTTTCATAATAGGTGGTGATAAGGTAATTAATAATGCCCATTTTATTGATTTTAAATATGTATAATCGTCTAGTAACTTGGAAATATTTATTTCATTTAAATCAGAAGATTGATGATATTTATTCTCTCTCTTCTTCCACATTTCAATTGTAGATATTATAAAAATCAGATAATTTTGCTACCATTTTATAAAACTCATGCCAGTGTTCATTATATTTTCGCAGAATCATAATTTGAAATGATGCAATTACTTTCAAATAAAATCTTAAAAATAATATGAAAAAATAAATTACATAACAAATTTAATTTTCCAGATAGGGGAAAATTTTGAAATTACATATTTTGTTAAAATCATTTTATAGATAATTCAGGCGTGATTATAAAGCACTTTAGAAATTATTTTTTAAATTAATTCAAAATTTTATGGTAAACTGTCTAAAATTTATTTTAAGTAGCCATTTGTTGTTTAAAACCTGGCTTGAAGTAATTATTTTTAAAATGATTATTTTTAAACCGCAGTAACATTTAGCACTATTAGGCTAATACTCAGCAATTGGTCAAATCACAATACTTAAAAATATTTTTAACAGCAAATGAATACCTTACACTTTTGTGGTTATTTTTCAATTCTAAACTAACTCAGGTTAAATGTCAAAGAAACATATTCTCTTTTAAGTTTCCCACTTATTACTACACCTAAATATTTAAAAAGTGCTAATCAATAATCATTAATTAAGATTTCCTAATATATTTTAATATTTATACTTTTAACGCCCTATTATGGATATATTTTTGAAGTTGAAATTTCTAATTAACTTTTGAGACATAATAAGCTAGTAAATATTGAGGTTTTCCTCTATTCTATTTTCGTGTTATGTACAATTTGTCTACCTTTGTTAGTGATAACTTAAATAAATAGTCAAGCACGGTGTTATAATTTCCAGCTTTGTGTATATTTCATTTCTGCAGTCTCATTGAAATAGACGTGTCCTCTCGCAAGTGAGTAATTAGGTTTTGTGATCTGTTATGATCGTGAATTTTTTGCCAATGGGGTACTCTAATCTTTATCGATAAAATAATAGCAAGAGCTTCACTCTCTATATTTGTATAATTTATCTGATTTCAATAACGTTCTAGAGGCTGCTACTGGCTTTTCCTTGCCTTCTCCTTCTTACATTTCCAATCCTCTTAATGTTTTTAACTCGTCTAAACCATGTCCATTTTTCATTGTTCACTATTCTGTATTGTGGATCTGCGAAGTCCGCAAAATTATTTATTCCTTTGATTTAGGTTCGGGAATATTTATTATCGCTTATAATTTTATCACCATTTGGATGTATTCCATCACCGTCTATATCATGCCCCAAAAAACGAATTTTGTCTTTCATGAATACTCTTGGTAAAGATGCGTGTCAAACCATAATTATTCTCTCAAAAGCCTTTTTTTTATGTTGGTTGTCAAGATTCAATCTTTGTCCTCTGTAATCAATAAAATCATCTATATAAAATATGACTTCTTTCAAATCACCGAATATTTGTTCCATTATTTGTTAAATCTGATTGAGGCTGTTTTTAGAGGAAAGAGTAATCTTTTGAACCAAAAAAACCTTTGTGCGTCGATATATTACTATTTTATATGTTAAATTTACTAAATTTTTTATATTTAATATGTGAATTTTCACATAGTATAACTGAAATATGATGTGTTTGGTGAATAAAAATTTTATATTATATAATAGTAAGACCACTTTTAGCTGATTAGCTGAGATTGATGATTTATTTAATATACTTAATAACTTATAATAAAAAGAGATAAAATATTAAAAACTTTAAATAAATACTGGACAATTTTGGTTTACATTTTAGCTTTATTTAATTTTTTTTCTTACGGCCCAATTTTATAAATACTGTCATTTTGATTAATTTACTGCCCAAAAAATAATGGTTAGATTTCAAAAAAATTTCCATTGTTCCATCGATGTTGGTGGCATTATTTTTTCCAAAAAAAAATCGTTTTTTATTTTTTTTTCATGTTTTTTTTTTATTTTTATTTCCATCCCTAGCTTCTATACGAAAAAATCTTATGTATCTTTACACCAAATTGTTCCAGAATATTCTTTTAATTTATTCAGGAGTGTTCCCTTTTTGTATTCTGTCATGGTTGAAAGAAGCACCGCCAAAAATATAAAAATTTTAAATTGTTAGAAATTTAACTCTTAATCGCACAGGTGGGATTAAATATCATATAATATATAATTTTATTTTGAGTTAATATTATTATAAAAAAAATATTTTCATAGCTTATTAAAACATAAATAAATTTTTTTCAATTTTAAAAATTAACAAATATATATCCGTAAGTGGGCGTTATATGCGTAAATATGTAAGTATCATTTTAGGAAACCGGAATGATGATTGGATAGCGCTTTTTTTATATTTGGGTATATATACATATGAAAAACCTAAAAATTAAAAAAAAAATTTAGGTTTCTTTGATGTTTAATCTATGAGTAGGTTTAGAATAGTAAAATAATGGAAATTTTCTAAGGTAAATATTGCTGGCGTTATTTATCAAAATCTCTTAATTTTTGTTTTATATGTGTATATTTACGTGCTAAGCATTATCCTAAAAAATTTTTTGAAAATAATTTGATTTGACCGATTGCCGAGCTTAAAACCGACCATTTGCTAAATATTCGATTGACCAAATTTACTAGTAATACAATTTGAAAAATGGCTATGCAAAATCTAGTTATTTTAAAAACGTTATTAATCAAAATTCTTTCGATATTTTTGCCTGAATCTATTAGCAGCTTAACATTTTTAGATAAAGTATTTATGTGCAAAATTAATTTTGATTTTTTCAGTAGTTCAAGAGTTATAAGTGTTTTTTGGAGCTTGGGGTCACATAGACCTCACCTGGTCATCCTTGTAACTTTTTTTTCATCTATTTTGGCATTGATACATTAAGCATAAGTAAACCATTTTTTATACATAATTTAAAAGTTATATTATATTAATATTTGCAGTGATTAAATCAATATTTCAATTTTTGATATCATTTTATGGTATTTAATAACTTATGTCAGTTTTAAGAATATTATTACTATAAAATAATTAAAATCATTAACTTATAGTTTATTTAAAAATTTTTTAAAATATGAAAGCTACAAATTGATTTAAATATATAGTGCTTTTAAATTGGGGTCCGAGGGTATCCCAACTAGTGTTTCGCGTGATTTTTTTCACATGTGCAATGAAGGGTTTAAAAACCTGGTATAAAAAATAACCCTCTAAGTCAGGATTATGACAACAAAGATGAGAGAGGTTGTTTGCAGTGCCGGTCTCATCTGACTATTGGGTCCGATGGGACGGTCTGACCTATGATCGATTAAAAAAGATAAAGTTTACTATGAATTACTTTTATTTACATGAACACGTAAAACATGATTACTTAATGCTTGACACTTTATAATATTTCATTCATTGTTTGCTTTTCTTCCGTTTCATTATAGTCAAGTAATTTAATTTAGGTGATTTTATTTATTAGGTATTATATATTTATTTTTAGAAATTGAAATCATAGATGATGATAATATTATTGAATCTCCTCTCCCTCTTCTGAAGGTGAAAAAATAACAATAGATTTAGAAGATAGTAGTAGTAAAAATGAAAGAAATTAATCAAATTCAAATTTGAAAGATGTTAGAGAATTATATAAATTTTTTAGAAAGAATAATTCTGGAATATTTTTCAAGCACAAGTAAATTATCTGAATATATCAAATTGAGAGTTCAAAATTTCAAATATATGAATTAAAACTGCATCAAAAAAACAATTTATACTTAATAGACCCTTCTCTCTTCATATTATTTGTTGATATTTGATTAAATGATATGAATATGATTTTATATTACATATTCGCATATGTAATAAATATTTTAATCTTACTCTAGGAGACGACTTATGATTTATATAAATGTTTCACAGGAAAAAATATTAGTTCAGAAAGAAATAATTTTTTCTTTAGATTATATTTGTATTAATAAAATTACAACTACGCTAAACACTAAAATTAATAAATATATTGCTGAATTTAATCCCCACATTAGGCTACATCAGTAGCATGTTAATAGATCTTTTCTGAAGTTGGTGATAAAATATCAACGGAATAGAATGAATCCAAAGATGGTTCAACCTCTAATGAAATTTGAATTATGGAATTAATTTGATTTTTTATAAGATTATTAGTATATTTATATATAAATCAATTTTGCAAATATCTATCCCATATTATATATATCAAAAACTCATTAAATATGCAAATTGATTTTTATAATATTCAATAAATTTGGTATTATAAATATTTGATGATGTAATTAAAATATTGGTAATTTAACATATTTCATTTTTAATAAATTTAATGCAGAATAAAACTTTTATAGCATAATAAAAAAGCATATTTTAAATGTAACCGGACCGACTCTCATCCGACCTAACTGTCCAGCGGTCCAGTCCCATTTTAAATAAAGACGGGACTGGACCGCTGTAAAAACTAAAAGAAGTAAAATAAAAATAGACCACAAAAATTGATTTTCAATATGAACGGAGTTTTTTGCATTCATGGCTGTAACCATTACTCAAAATTTGATTCATAACAATTCTGCAAATTATTTTTCCTATTATTAAAAATAAAAAATAAGCGCATTCTTATATTTATTTTTTTAATTTCAAAGATGGGTGCATTGATTTTAAATGTTTAAACTCAGTATTTTTTCATTTCGAATTATCTTATATTTCAATATATTGTTCGACGGCTCGATTATAAAAGACCGCCAACACAATATTTTAGCTAAAAAAATATTACGCAAGCCTAGAGATTTTTCACATAGATGGTAGAAAGGTTGGGGCATCTACTAACGAAAATCGGGGCATGACTAATATTATTTCCGTTAAAATCCTATTTTAAATTGGCTAAATCGAGCCGTTCACTAATTTAAATCAAACCAACTCTCAGTTTTCTAAATTTGTATTTATATTAAATTAAAAAATTTAAAGTTACTCAATTAACGTTATAAATTTCAATTAAAAATGTTTTTTTTTAAATGAGTGAGAAGAACCCTTTTCTCAAAAAAGTCACTAAACTGATAAACTTTTTTGACTAAAATTTTCCCGTAAAAGCATCACCGTGAATGCATCGCTGCAAAAGTCGTTCCGAAAGATATTTTCGTGAATGCAATAACGTAAAAAACCCAGCAACATTTTTACCCGGGTTTGGTTCGGTTTAAGGTTAAAAAAATAGATGGGTTTGGTTCGGGCTCGGTTCAGGGAAATATTTTTGAACCGAGTTTGGTTCTGGGTTTAGCTCGGGTTTATGAATTTTTGAATTGATAAAAAAAAATATTTTATATTTAAATCATAATTAAAAAACTAGACATAAATTTGGTATAAAAAATAAATTTTTTATTTTATTTATAGGCAAAATATAGTTAAAAATAAAAAATATAGTCATGTATAGATTTTTAAAAAATTTTTATAGGCAAAATATAGTTAAAAATAAAAAGTATAGTCATGTATAGATTTAAAAAATTTTATTTAGACGTATTTCTTTAAATTAACAATATCCAATATAATAATTTTTACTTTGACTTGTTCACTTTCATTTTCCTCTAATTAATAATCTTTGAGAATTGAAAATAAATGGTGTAAATGAATATAATTGTATAAAATTTATTAACAATCCAATAGTAATCTTTGAGAATAAATTTAAAAATGGAGTAAATGAATTAAGTTGTTTAAAATTTATTAACACTTCACTTAATTGGAAATTTGAAAATCAAGTAAATTATTAATATTTGTATTTACAATTATACAAATATCTTATATTAATTTAAACAATATACTGAACCCGGGTTCAAATAAAATTGCCGGGTTCGGTTTGGAGTTTTGGAAATTTTATAAACGGGGTTCGGTTATTTTTCTATAAACCCAGGTTTTCTTCTCCGAGTTCGGGTTCGGTTCGAACCCCTGGGAAAAACATTCAAACATAATTTTGCCCCTAGACTAGTCGATGTGGGGTTAGTAGTCCTATTTTTGTGATGAGATAGCTAGGGTTAGATAAATAATTATTAATATTATTTTTGCTGAATTTAATCTATATCCGTGCAAATTTATACCAAACAAGATAGCAAGGCCATAACTGGATCCTGGTGTTTTAGGGGTCTGGGAAAATTTTTTTACCATCAATATATAAGTAAAGAGGAGGGGATTCTTTAATCATACTTAGATTTATCTGATAAATGATTTTTTCACTGTAATGTATTCGTGAAAATATCTTTTCATGGTAATCGACATTCGCGGGAATTTGTAAACTGTAGGGCCCTTCACACCAAAAGTTTCACAGTCATATAGCTGTTGTTGAACCATAAGAGTACGTATTATCTCCTCTTCTTTCTAGAATTCTATAGATATTTTAATAGAATATGATTTTTAGACAAGAAAAAATGTGAATAAGTGCACCTAAGCGTATATTATTGTATCTTCACCTTATGTTTGAATCTATTTTTTTTAAATAGACAAAAATAAAAAGTTCTAGCTACTTTTCAGAATTAACAACAAAAATTACTCAAAGGTTTAAAGAATAAACTTTTAACTCCCCTATTTTAATCATTACTGAATTAAGAAAGATGAAATGAGTTATTTATTATCAAAGTTTATATATATAGTTCACAAATTATTTGAAAACCTTTTTTTAAAAAAAAGTATCGTTGATTCACAGACTACGGTGTAAATTAGAAAATTTAAGACCTTTAAAAAAAGTACTTGATTTTCGATCCAATGGAGAAGACCGTCTCGAAAGCGATTTTGTTGAGTCCACCCTGAGCGAAAATATTAAATATACTAGTCAAATGCTGGTCGATTTATGGTCTTACTTGAATTTCCTTGATTTCGACGGGTAAAAAAAATAATATTGAATAATTGAAAATATTTTGTATGTTTTCTTTCCTTATTACTATTGAGTCATAGTTTCAGCAAAGAATAAATAGAATAGTAATCGGGTTTTGAAGGCAATAAAGAGGAAAATAAAGGAAATGTGTGATCAATTTTATCAAATTATTTTGCCATTTCTATACCTTTGTTAAGTAAATTTACCTAGAAAGCTATGTGTGAAAATTTAGAGGAAGGAAGGTAAATTGTGCCCTAAATTTGCCAAAAAACAAGAGAAATTTAAATCAAAATTAACAAAAAGAAGGAAATCAAAATAAATATTTTCCTCCAATTTTATATAAATGACAATAACGTCTGCATAACTCCTTAAACCGTTTTAAATTTCAAAGACGATCTTGCTTCATACCCCTTCCTTCTTTAATGATAGAATTCCCTGGATTAAGCATGAATGTAATTTATATAGATTGAGTCCTGCATCCTACCTTTAATTTCGTGTTCGTCCCGCAAGAAAATTTTAAATGTTCCACCTATCCGATATTTTATAAAGATCCTAGTCCTTACCGAAGTCATATTTTAAGAATAAGTTATAATCGATCCCGATTTTTTTATATTATTCTACTAAGGAAAAGATACGAATTTTCAAAGGAAGAAAATTGTAAGCGCTACTGAAAAATAAAAAAAATTATTGGGTTTTTTTTCAAAAGAATAGTTGTAAAAGCATTAGGAACGTAATAAATCAATAAAATTTGCCAACATCCGTTTCCGGTCTTTTCCGAATAAAAAATTTGAATAAAAGTTCTATGTGAATCGAGAAAATATCTGACTGACCGGAGTTTGATCGGACTGAAACAAGTCCATGCAGGGCTTTTATATGAAACATGTAATTGTGAATCGAAAAAAAAGAAGAAGAAAAAATTAATAGATTTAAACGAAAGGACAAACAAAAAAAAATAGAAAGATTATTTTTATTAATATAAAAAACCTTTCTTCATAATTTAATTTCTTCCTTATAAGTCATTCAGATTCCACCAAATTAAATCTATTAAAACGCGTCTTATGCTTCTGTGATCCTTGTGCTCTATTAGTCACTTACTTTCTAGCCTTGAAAGATCTGGTATTCCTAAATCAAGGTAAGTTCTTTTTTGAGTCTTTAATAACAATTTTATCAAATTCCTTCTTATAAAAAAACCTTAATAGTTACCACTAATATTTAGTTTTATCATAGGACAAAAACTTTGAATTTTATTTTTCGAAAATTTGATCGAATTGAACAGTACCGATAAACCCGATCGTTTTGATTTCATGAGCCTTAACCGAACCTTTATGTCAAATTCTTTTAAAAAAGCGATATAATTTTGCCTGAACGGTTTAAACTTGTTTGAGATAAATATTTTGATTGTAATTTTAAGACATTTTTTTTGAAAATTACGATAGCTTAGATTTCTCTGGGGAGTTACAGTTATATTATTTCCTTCTTTTTTAAACCAGTTAATTCTCTTATATACATATTTATTAAAATTATAACGCTATAATTTTTTTTTAAATTTTGTGAATAATTTTAAAGCTCTAAATAACATTGGTAATAAAATCGGCTTGGGTCCCTTTTTTTTAACTATTTTTTTAATAAACTTTTGGAAATTTGGATCCCTCAGGAAAAAGATTTAAACAAGACCGTGCCACCCGATATTTGGACAGAAGCCAAGCTTACAAAAACAGGTCTGATCCAGGATTGCTAGATGTCACGATTTAGCCGTGATTCTCACGATTTCTTACCAAATTTTTTACTCAATCACGGCACTTCACGTTTTTTGAGCAAATTGAAATAATCACACCTTTTCTCGCTTTTTTCAAAATATTTTTAAAAACAAATATAAAATTTTATTTTCAAATATTTAAAAAAATTGTAGTATTTGTTAATAGTCCAACCAACCAATTATATTCATTGATCATTATTATCTTTAAGAGGCATATTTAGGCATTATCCTTAACTTTAGCACTTTATTAAATAACATAAATTTACAACTACAATCTGAAGATGTCAGCTCAGCTGTATATACACGCTTATCAAAAAACATAAGAATCCTTTAAATTTAAAAATTCAACAAAATTTTTACAGAGCATTTCCAAAAACATTTTACAATGTAATAATTACGTAGAAAAGGCTTTGAATCAAAGATGTTTGTGAAAAATATTATAGAATATATAGAAATACGCTATGATATTATAGATAATATAGGAAAATGTCTTAGCTATGACATTAAAAAATGCCAGCATTTGATCAATTTCAAAAAATACTATTAATTATAAAATATCAAATATAGATTCAGATATTCTCTTTGAGAAATATTCACATTTTTATTCCGATTACGAAGACAAATTATCCACAATCACGCAGGAAGATTTCCTTTCAAATAATAACTCCTTTAATAGAGAAAAATGCAATTTTATATTTACCATTCCATATTCAAATGCATCATCAGCGAGATAATTCAGCCTAATGACTACTGCTTGACGAAAAAAAGTAACAGATTACATTTATCTTGATTGAAGGTTGAAATTATGATTAAACAAAATTATAATTATTCATACAAAGAGTTTTCAGCCTCTCTTCATTGCTCCGATGCCAAATCTTTATTGCCTCTTTTAAAATCATCCATGAAACCTATATTTCTTATCTTATCTAGCAAGTTAGTCTAGGACCTTCCCAAATTAAACGCACGTGAATTATACAGAGACCGGTCCTCTGCATAATTACGGGTTTTTTTTCAAGGTACCAACAAACCTTGTTTCACAGGTATATTAAACAAAAGATGGAACTTGAACATGGCCATTTTTTTTTTAATTTTAATAGAGGAAAATGTAACTACAAGAAGGAAGAAGAGGAATAGGTCCAATCAATTACTTCCTACTATATAGGATGTTATGCTTGATTATTATTTATTAATATATGTCAAAATTAATCAAAAAATTAAGTGAATATTAAGGTAAAGGGTAGTATACAATTTACTCTAACTATATCAGTTAATCTAAATTAAAGTTTGATGTAAGAACTAGATAATTCCTCCAAAAATATACCCTAAAAATAATATTAGTAACCAAAGTGAATTTATACCCGAACTTTTTAGTTTAAAATTTGAAAGGGATCCAAAAGTATATAAATATATATTTAACGTTCCTTATTAGTGATAATACGTTACCCTGGTTTTAAGAGATCCTGATAAAGTAGTATAAAAGAGAGTTTAGATTACCATTTTACAATCCAGCCTTGAGATTACTCGCCCAAGTTAGTTTTCTGTTAACAATTGTTGATAAACTGATTATATATTGCCGCTAGCATCTTTTTAAATCACTCCTGTCTGCAGCATTTTTATAAAAGATATATCAAGTAAAACCCAATTTATCTAAAGATTTAGTGATCAATCTAAACCAGCTGCTTTTGTATAAAAGGAAGGGCTTAAGGGAAGATTCGACCGAAAGTATCTGTCAAGAGCTTGATATGCCTTAGTACGTGACTGATTAGCTCAATTTTCCTAAATTTTACCGTAAGGTGTATAGGGATATTGTTACATCTCTTCACAAGAATAAGTTAGAAGTATTGTTTGAATAGAAGGATTCAGTAATATAACAAAAGCACTTGTTTATAACTGATTGTGCCTTTTATTATGGTTGCCGGGTTCCAAGTCGAAATTCCATAATAAAGCGAAGAGAGTACTAAGGTCTTGAAAAATTTTGTCTTCAATGGGATAGAAAGTTGGCTTGAGGACGAAATTTTCATAAATAAGTGATACTTAAATCAGGCCGTGGCCAGTCTTAATATCTTCATCCGCCCTTCCTCTCGTATCAAGAGTGATCTTTAGATATTTTGGATTATAACTTCCTTAATTTCTACGTTATCAATTATTAGGTTATCATGTGGTAAATTATAATAGGCACTCATCACATCTGTATTGGGTATCAGACGAAATTTCTTCGCCTCAGTGATAACTATGTCCACTATATATTGTAGGTTGTGCATAGACGTAGCCGTTATACCTAGATCATATTATAAACCACCATAAGATCTGAAATAGGCTGTGCCGATATTAAAAGACCTGTTTATGAATGTGTATATCTTAGAATTGGCACTAGATTGACAGCTAATTTTTTACGCATTAACATCTTGAATATCTATATAACGTTAAAACTTGTTATAAAACAAAATAAATTATTATAAGGAGGCGTCAGAATTGACTGATCAAGATTTGTTCTGGATCAGATCGGCAAAAAATTGTTAAAACTCGATCCACAACATAGGCTCATTTTATTTGCCGATACTTATTTTTCTTTAAAATATTTTTGTTTAATAAATTATTTTGAAGCTTTTTTTAAGATGGTTATGCATTAAAAATTGGCTGCTTATCATGTGGCGATTCCGAGATTTGCACATTTATAACCATATCATTTTAATATCGGGGCAGCCTTAATCTAAACAAACCTTTTTCTAATATAATATAATGAAGTTGAATAACAGAGGGGATAGAATGTAACCTTGTTCAGTTCTATCTTTACAGGGTTGTTAGTGGATTTTACTCCCTCATATATAATTTAAATTGAGTAGTTCTGGTAACTATTTATAAGAAGGTGCAGCAATTTCTCATGAACCCCTGTCTCTTTTAAAGCTTGTCATAGAGTGATTTGTATAACTGAATTAAATGCCATTTTGAAGTCTAAAGCTGCAATAAGAAATTGACTCTTCCATACTTTGAACCGTTCCAATTATATTTTTAGAGCAAAGATTGCTTCCAAGGCATTATGTCCTCGCAAAAAGGGGACAATAGAATCCTCAAAGAATGGTTCAATAAAAGGTTTAAGTCTGTTATAAACAATGTACGTATATATTCTATATGAATTTAGAGAAATTCTCCTTCAGTCCTTAACTCTTCTTGTTTTTGATAAATTTATCATTATATAGATAAGCCATTCACCCGGGCATATTCTTTCATACCATAATTTGGTCACAATAGGAAGAATAATGTCCGCACTCAAGGAGAGATCCGTCTTTAGAAACTCTGCATAAATACCGTCCTGACCGCAGGCTTTATGATTATTTAATTTCTTTATAAAATTAATTAGTTTACCTTTAATTGGCTTCAATATTGTCCTGTTATCGTCATTAGAATTTAATAAGTGAGGATAATAAGAAGTAAAAAGTAGCGATCTTTTAAGAATGCTCTTTTCTCTCTTCTCAATTTATGATGATATCAAACAAGGTATACTTAGCCCTGTTTCTTCTTGGCCAGCTCCTACCAGGCTAGAAATAAGTTATCTGGAGTTAGATGAGATCTAGTCTGTGTATCTTTCGTTGACAGATAGTTTAAAGCAGAGATAGTATAAATAAATATAAATAATACTCCTGCGGGCCCAGATGTTGTATACATTTCGATCCTCATTAAGTTCCTCCGCTATTGGCAATCTTTTATTTTCCTTGAGAATTTCTCTTCGATGGCCGGGTCATTTAGTTCATCTACATTCAGTTTTAATCTCTTTGGTCTATTGCTGCCAACTTACCCTTTTCCTCTTAGGCTTTAGGATTAATACTCAGGTAACACCCATAGATCCTAGTCAAAACCAACTTTTATAATATTTATATCCATCCCATAGTATTTTTCGAGCAGATAAAATAATCGATTTGCGACAAAGTCTCGTATGAGGCACTAAAATGAGTGAAAATTTCCCTGGGATCAGAATGTTCAAGAAATATTTTCCCTATATGTAAGTTTAGGTTGCGTGCGACATATATTTAAAAGCACTCCCCCCCTCCATATCAGAATTTATGTCGATATTTGCCGTTCCTAGTGCACTATGACTCTTTCAAGCCACTTTGGCATTAAGGTCTCCCGCTATTATGAGGACTTCGTGTTTGCGAAATTTCTTTAAGTAAACAATGGGGCAAAAGACCGTCTTTTTCCACAATGTTCAAAGTTTTTCATTTAGAATTAAACCTGATAGCGCATATTCTACTATTTATAGCCTCAAAGTTATAGAACAATTGAGATAAATCGTTTTTAATAATCAGATTTACCATTTCATATTTTTGTTTCTTCCCTAAAATTATAAATCGTATAATTGTGGCAAATTTGCCTATAAAATTTCGTCCAGTGGGACTTTTCAATGTAAGCTAAGTCAAGGTCAAGGACCGAAAAAAGGGCTCTTAGTGCACTCTATTTGTTATCTTTGAAAGTTATCACCTATGGAAGGACATAGATTTAGGATCAACACTGGAGAATATGGTATGGATTAATTAATAATTTCAATGGCATAATTTAAAATTAAAGTTAAAAATTTGTTAACAACAAAATAATCAACACCTTAATCTCTTTATTACTTGATGAAAACTAATATGAGAAAATTGTAAAATAATAAAATAAATTTTAATTTCTTATTAATATTTCAATTTTATTTTGGACTCAAATATGTTTTTATTTTGGACTCAAATATGTTTTTATTTTGGACTCAATTCCTAGAACTAGAATATAAATGATAAAATAAATTTCTAGAGAAAAATAAATAAATAATCTTCACTATCTTATTAATTTTTATATATCCTATCCCTTCATAAGATTTGTATTGTCTTAAAAATCTTGTTGTATTAAATATAATATATTAAGCAGAGACCTGCAGAGGTACTCATTCACGGCCCTGACCGGATTTTTTTTCAAAACGGCCTTGCCCGGGCTTTATATTTTCAGGCCCGACCCAGTTTTTTTTTAATATTTTTAATTTTTTACTGGCGATTATTGATTTCATAATATACGGCCCGGATATTTTTAAAAAAAATTTACAAGCCCGGCCGAACCCGCGTATTTTTAAAAAAAAAATCAGGCCCTACCCTGGTATATTTAAAAAAATTAAAATAGGGCTCGACTTGGGCAGGGTCTGATATTAAGTATGATAAGTATGCTACGCCCCCCGTAAGAAAATCTCGCGTTTTCGAGTGAAAAATATCTGACCATCCTGGTCTGATTCGAGAACTTTTACGATAATATAACAATTTATTTCGAAAATTTTAAGTTTTTTCAAAAAATTACTAATAAAGTATCCTTATTTTTTAAAAAAAAAATAAATGCGTTAATATCTGAAAATAATATATTATTATTTTTTACTAAAATATTATATAGACGTAATACTGAAGCTCGTGAGAGTTTTCTTCTTCATACAATTGGTTCAAATTGTGAAATCCGTATATCCATCTCTCCCAACCACATTTTTTGAAGATTTAGCAAATACTCCTGATCCCTATACAAAATTAAATCTGGACTCATCAGTTTTCTTTTTTTGCAAATCATATTCATTTTTCTTTCTTTCTTAAAGAAAAGATTTTAAATATTTCCTTTAGACTTTTCATTTATTGATACTCATCATTTAATTTATTTAATTTATGAAATATTTTGGTAACATGGAATTATACCAAATCACATGTAATTCATGAAATAAATTTTTATTTTTATTAGTAACTTGAGATTATATTCTCGTCGATCTTATATTAGTAAGTTTTATATAATTTTTTTAATTATTTTAACCTTATTTTAGGAAATCGGCCTTTTTACCGGATTAATTCGCCGTTTATTAATTACGCTCCATCTGAATCCCACCAAGTCAAATGCTGATTTTAATCAGGATTTTCCATCGAATGAAGACAATTTGCCTTCGACATCCAAAAATTTAGAAATTATCCGAAATAATGAAACGTTTATAGGGGAATTCAAGGACATTTGTTATTTGATAATGGAAGAATTGTCCCATTACTTATCGTTCTCTTATCTCCTTCACCAATCTATCCATATCATGCACGATGAAGATGTTTGTATATTTTTTTAGTAAATTATGGGATATCCAAAAAAAATAGTTATAAATTACATAAATATATTATTTTTTTTTAAATATTTGGTATATATTATTTTTAGAGTAAAATATTAGCATGCAAAATTATTATTTTCAAAAATATTTAAATTTATTTCACAGGGATTCGTTCTAACTCCTGAAGATGAAGAAGATGCTCTTCTGACGACCCGGATCTCTCTTTTAATAAAAAAACTTGCGATCTTCAAAGAAAATGATTTTGCCGACGATATAACATTGCATTTGATAGGTAATAGTTATTTATATTTTTTTCAAATTATTTGTCTAAATGGGCATTTTTCTCCCCTAACTTATTAATTAAAACTTATAAGCAATAAATTCTTACTTCAAATTCAAATATAATTATGACTCCTACTTGGAACCCAACTAAAAAATAGTGGATCTTGATATTTTTATACATTTATAATCAGAATTTTATAAAGTTTGAAAAAAAATTTTGAGCGAAAATCTTTGAAGAATAGAGGTTTTTAATCATATTTGACCTAAAAATGCCAAAATCTTTTTAAAAAATTGCCTAACTTTTTTAATATCCTTTTTACATATTTTTTTATATATAATTATTATACTAACATTTATATTGTTTTTATATTTTTATATAGTAAATTTTTTGTAATTTTCATGCATAAAAATTTTTTTAAAAAAAATTTGGCAGATTTTTTTCAAATCTGAATTTTTATCAATATATATATTGTATGTTTATATAAAGTTATTTTATTAATTGTATACATGTTTTATAGATATGTGTATGTAATTATTTTTCAATAAAATAAATTTAAAAAATAAAAATTTGTTATATATTATACCTTTTAATATTATATATCAAAATTCAATTTAGCAAATTCGTGAAAAAAAGTTCTAAAAATCCAAATACAGAAAACTACAATTTTTATGGAACAAATGTCTATAAATGTCAATTTTAAACTGACAATTACAATAATTTCACCAAAAATATAACTACCATTCCTAGCCCCTCATTAGCAGCAAACACTAAAAAAAATTGAATCAATATACCAAATCTAACATTTAACTCCTCATTACATCATGCAACGACTTAAGCCCAAAACGTACTATTTATTACCCTTTATATGACCCAAAAATTTATGCTAAATATTCTTATGCAAATGAATAAGCGTGGATGGAACACCTTTGAATTTCAAATCACCATTGTTGAAAATTTAAAAACTTTCAAATAATCTTAAATTTATAATAAAATTATATGTGCAAGACAATCAATAAACTCCTATCTATAACATATAGCAAACTCATATCGAACTATTTATTTACTCACCAAAAAAATTTTTAGTCCTATATAATTCCCTTCAAAATTCCTTTGAATTTAATAAACATTTCATCGAATCTCTTTTAGTCCCAAAATTTTTTGATTAAGATTTTTACTTCGCCTCTTTGCCTGTTTACCAAGGATATCTGACCTCCCTTCCCCATTTAATGGCAATTACTTGTTTTCTTTTATCTCTGACTTAATTATTCTATTTCCTTGTTTATCAAGTTAAATCTACGTCTCGATTCGTCTAATGAATTTTGGCTCTTTTAATTTTCTAAGGTTCCGAGCACCCCGCCAGCCATTTAAAGAGCCTCCTAGTACCCATGTTTCAATATGATTTTAACTCTATATATCCTAATCTATCTAATTTTCAACTAATTAGAAACATATTAATGGCCAAAATAACTAGACGCTATTCTTGAAGCTAGGGTCTTATTTCTTCTGTTGACACTTGTGATGCCTGTGCAATCAGATAACCACATTTCGTATGCTGTTTCTTTTACCTTAAAAATGGTGGCCGCTTTCTGTGTCACGACTATCTTAATAGGTTGATCGGCATATGTTTGATTTCCGCCGGCTTCCCCAGTAGTTCGGAACCCTTTTTTAATTAATGATGCCAAGCATCCTGATGACATCTTTGCATCACGGCAATCTTAATAGATTGATCGGCATATGTTTGATTTCCGCCGACTTCCCCAGTAATTCGGAACCCTTAAGCCTTTTAAATAATGATGCCAAGCGTCTTGATGACATCTTTGCACTATGGTAAAAAGCTTGTCTGGGATGTGTCATGCGTTACCTGATAACCTTCTAATGGAAATTCTAGCCTCTTATAGACCTCCAAGAAATCGAAAAGTCTGATAAATGTAGATTCCTGTTAAATTCTAATTTTTTGTGATTTGAGGAATCCAGCTCCTTAATTCCTAATTTTAATCTGTTACGTAAAAATGTTAATAATGACTGGAAGGATTCCCTTTTTCTAGAACAAAAAACTTAAATCGAAATTCTAATAGGGAAATTAAAGGTTTTCTCTAAAAGATATCTATATCTTTCTTAGCTTCCTTTTTAATAATTACGTATTGCCAAAATATTTTTCCCTAAAAAAAGTATACAATATCTATTTTTATGGCTAAAATTTCTGCATTTATTTTTTAAAAAATTATCTACGTAATTTTTGGTTTTTTTCCCACAAATATGTGATATTATATATTAGTATAGCCCCATTTATATTTTTTTTTATTAAAAATGTTCTATGGGTTTCTAAATCGAATCTTATAGTGTAAAATGATATATTTTTGTATTTAATATATAAGTCTGTGTCCTAAATATATTTAAAATAACCTCTCTAAAATCTTCCATTTAAAGTTTTTTAGAATATTCAAAACACTTGATATGAATGAAAGTTATTTATTATATAATATTTGAAGATAGCGAATGAACGTAGATATTACCTACTGACAGCTAAATTTAAAAATATAAAATATTGATCACTTTTTTAATAAGATTTCTCAAGTTTATAAATTTTAAGCTAACTTTTATTTATTTCTATTATTTTAAAAAAATAACAAATTTTTGTAAATTAGCCACTATTTTATTTTTACAAGTAATAATACTATATTTTTTTCATTAAAATTAATAAATTTGTTTATTTATACTTTTGATATTTAGGACACAGTCTAGTAAAAAAAAACAATACGACATAGGTTTCTTTTTTTTTATTTATTATAACTTTTGGCTGATGTATATTTTGTTGCTCATTTTTATTAAAAATAGTTTGTTTTTTAAATATTAAATTCCTCACTGTAACTTATTATTTAAAAAATCAAAGAACCGACCCAAAACCAAGCTTTAAAACATTTTATTTTTTAAATGGGGTGAGGCCGAAAAATAAATTTAAAAAAATACAAAATCGGGCCTAGTCTGTAAATAGGTGCCTCCGCTTGATTCCCGATTTTAGCGTCTCGAATTTATGATCCCTTGAGGATTATAATGATTAGGCAATTGTTTGGCTGATAAAAATTCATTATTTTAAATATTTTTTATTATCTGTAGATGATTCCGTTCTTAGTGATCGTTACAAGGTGAATTTAATTATCTATATATAATATATATATATATATATAATTTTGTTGTTAAATTGAAATCTTCATTGTTTATATTTATAGGGTGGTGGTCTATATAGATTATGTGGCTTTGTTATTTATAGAATTATATATCAATTTTTCATAGCTTATAAAAGATAAAATGCAAGTGACCACCAACTAATACTGATTACATTTAGGAATTTTTAATTCGTTAATTTTAAATCAATTAATTGGCCTAAGTATCTTAAAAGGACACTGACACTATTTGTTGCAGTTATTATTTGGATTGTGAATTAATAAAAATTTTTGTTTTGTTTTTAATTTATTGCTTCTTATAAAGAAATGGAATATTCTTACTAATGACTGAGATACCATATATTCCCATTCATAGGGAAGATATTTTCTTTCAAATTATACACAATATTTATTATTAGCTATCATGATTATATTTTTCTCGTTTTCTCCAAAGCTTTATGTTATGTAAACTCTTATTTTCATTCCCTTTAAAATTAAAATTATCAAGTATGGATATCGTTATAATACATCATGATATGCATGTACGGGACATTAGTTCTGGCATCCATTCATGACGGTATCCGTTTTTAGTCCGGTGGGTTAATGTGAATGAAAAACTGACATGATATTCCTATTTATTTATGATTAAATGAGGGAATATGTATGACAATAAAGGGCCAACTAGCTTAATAATATCATTATGTGTGTTTAAGAGCTGTGGGGAGACATAAGATTGTGGGAGGGGGGGGGGGGGGGGGTGAAGAGTTAGAACTCTGGGTGGGAGGGGGGCTACTGAAAGTTTTGTCCACCATGAACATATTGTCGAATACCTAAGGAGTTTCTTGAACGGGTCTTTTAGTGGAGGCTCTAAGCCCATCTATTTTTCCAGGGGTATAAGGTTTGACCTCCTGATTGACCACTCAAGTCCTGTTGGCGTGGCCTGACATATTGTCCTCTTACGTTACCCGTGATAGGTTTCTAGCCAACTGTGCGAGGTCCCAGAGTCAGCATAATTAGCTCGAGGAGAAACTAGCATCCAGGGAATCTGGATCCTCCCATGTAAGCCACTTTACTATCGGTGACGAAGGATGGGATTTTCCCATATTATTCGAAGCGTCTGCGTATATGACTTCGTTGATTGGGAAGGAAAAGGGGAATGGTTTCATTAAGACCCCCTGCGACTACCGCCTTCGTTATGTTTGCTATAGTCAATCGAGGGTGTCTCAAAAGGGTGCATCATCGTACGGTAATATGGCGTGCCGCCGCCAGCTCCCTCCATCCAGAATGTGTTCAGTGTGTGGCACATCGCCTTAGTTGTGTTATGGTACTTCAATCTTTTCATATACTCGATAACAGCGTTGTTCATGCCATATTACAGCACGATGATGCACACTTTGAGATGCCCTCGATTGGCTACCTGCAAATATACCCCAAGGTGGAAGCCGCCTTGCCAACCTTAATGACATTCCCCTTTTCCTTTCCGATCAACGAAGTCATTATGCACGTAGACTCTTCGAATAACTACATCGGTATGCCGACAGACCGTCTTCAGAGTTCTCGCTCATTTACGACTAAGTCAAACAAATTTTCAATATCCAATACGCTGCCACATTCTATATCAATCAGAAGGAGATTTAGGCTTTAGAGGTAATATGGAAGGAACCGATATGGGGAAATTCCATTCCTTGTCACCTATAATCAAGTAACTTACACAATCGCTAAAAAAGGCCCCAAGATGCGAGTTCCTATTCGCGCAAATTATGCTGGCAATCGTATTCCTGGACTAAGTTGGCTAGTCACCTATCAGAGATAGCATAAGAGGACAATATGGCAAATCACGTCAACAGGACTTGGGTTGTCAATCAGGAGACCAACGCCTATATTCATAACATCAATTACTCGGACTTCTCATCTACATCTGGCGAAATAGATTAGCTTAGAGCCTCCACCCCGATAAGACCCGTCGAAGACACATTTGCAGCATGATGGTAGATTTCGATCCTACGGTATTCAACAATACACTCAACCCACGGTGAACAAAATCTTCAGTACCCCGTCCACCCCCCCCCCAACATTCATATACCATCTCATAGAACAAACACATTCACTTTGTTAAGCCAGTTGGCTCTTTATTGTTATATATTCTCACATTTAATCACGAATAAATAGTAGTATCATTGCCAGTTGGCTTTCTTTATTTATACCTTTCTTTCACATTATCCCACCGGACCGGAAACTTTAGGGGTACCGTTAAGAATGGATGCCAGAACTAATGTCCGGTACATGTATATATATATGATGTAATATAACGGGCTACATAATGCCGCGAAAATTTTAGCATGAATTGTATTATGACGAATGTCGATTACCGTTAAATAATATTATAGCGAATACATTATAACGAATGAATTACCGCGAATGCATCATCGCGAAAATATTAAAGCGAATTTATTATAACGAATGCTTTAGTGCGAATGTAGTAGCGTTAATGCATTATCACAAATGTATTATCTTAAATGAATTACATCAGTTGCAATATCGGAAATGGAGTTTGATGAAAATTACAATTTTATATTTATCGGCCTTTATACAAATTTAGTTGAACCTGTAATTTAAGGTAAAGTCGTGTTTGGGCCTAAAAACATTTTTTTTTTGAAAATAGGGCTAAGGCTTTTGATTATTTGACTCAAAATATATAAAAACGATTCAAATCAATAAAACAGATTTCTCTAAGATTCGGGTAAAGGAATTAAACATTTATATTAATTGATTGTTTTAATATGTGTTTAGTTATATTTTTCAATTAAATTTGGGACAGGACAGGCTCAGGCCTAAAATTTAAAATAATGGGTAGGCTCGGGCCTAAAAATAAATAAAGATTTTGGATGGAGCTTTGGCTGAAATAAATTAAATTTGAAAGGCGCTAAGAAAAGTATTATTTGAAACATTGAGCCAAACAGATAATTAGTCCTCGGAAATCTTTATAATGTTCTTTGACAAAACATGCTTTAATTAGTGAGAAATTTAGCATTGACTTGATAAGCATATTTTGATAATAAATTAAATTTGTATAAAGTTCTCTTATTGCTTAATCAGAAAGACAAGACCAAAGCTTATCACAACAAGACATGAAACAATATTCAGCATCATAGGTAGATTGTCGAATTGAATGGCTACACATCTCTGAACTTAATTCATGTAATCTCTGATGATGAAAGGCTACTATTGTGACTATACCTAAAACGAATTATTTGTTATTCTATTTGATTCGATTCGTATTTTACTAATACGAATAACACAATTATTCGAATCGAATTCGAATAAGGAAAATATATTATTCGTCGAATAATTTTTTATCTATTATTCGATTAAAATAATTTATATTAATAAATATCGAAAAATAATCATATATTATTAGTAGGAATTATTTGCAATTATTCCTATTTAATAAAATTTCCTAGTGGAATAATGAAGAAACATTTTATATTTCTAAATGTTGTTAACGGCTATTTTTATTCGAATAATTCATAATACAAAATTAACTTCCGATATGATGGACGAAGAAAGTATTTATTCTTATATGTAATTTATAACACATATACAATTATAAATAACTAGTAGCTATCCCGTCAAGGATGACGGGCGAATCAGATATTTCTCCTTTATTTGATGATGGAGATATCATAAATTTGACTTTTTGCAAAAACTTTGTGTTTAAAAAATTTGTTGTTGGTATTGTCTTCTACATGTTATGAATATTATATTGATTTTTCTACATATATAAATATACTATATATGTATGCTTCTATATTATCTTACTAATAAAATTTGTTTGTCTTTTATCCATAGTTAAATTTTACAAAATAAATTTAATATGCTATCTTTTTTAATTTACGGTTAAATAAAATTTTCGAATTGAATCGAATATTCGACGAATCGAATAATCATTTTATTATTCGTACGAATACGAATACTGAATTATTCGATTTATCGAATCGAATATGAATAATGCAATTATTTGATTCGATTCGTATTTTTGTAGGTATAATCGTGACTCAGGAATTGGGAAAAACAATATAATAATGATTTCCCTAACTGATTCTTGTTAGACGAGTCTTTTTCCTAGTAATGTGATTACAGACAAAATTGTATAATGGATATAGAAACATATTAAATATAAGTAGTTAAAATTGAATGAATTGAACATGCCTCATATATTATTAAAAATAACTTAGCAAATTATAGTATATTTCAGTTCAGTTGCTATATTTTATTAATCTGGCGAATATCATAAATTTTATTAGAGTGGCGATAATAGTGATTGTGCATTACTATCATCGTTTTGTTCTGAAGATGAATGGAATAAAATATTTACTTTATGAGTGCAATCTTTGTTCTCGCAAAACAATGTTGTCTACTTCAAGGAGTAGATGTACAACCCTAAAATATCGAAGGCAGTATATTAATTATATCAACCATTTGTCAAATTTAAATCACTATTTCATGATTGATAATGCATTCTTGGTAATGTCTTCGCTATGATGCATTTGCTGTAATGCATGTGCGATAATGCTTTAACTAAATTATAAATTATCACCTTATATATAAACGCTAAATTTTTATTTAGTATTTAGCTAGGTATATATAGCTTTTTTAGCTATATATTTTCTTATTTCAAAGACATTTACTTTTTTAAAGCATGTTAGAATTAGAGTATTGGATAAAAATTAAAAGTGATAATGGAAAGAAGTGTAATAAAATTATCTTTATGATTGCTTCTTTTTTTCAATTTAATATAAAAAATTCATTATCATAAATTAAATAAATCGGTGATAGTTATTATAATTTTGTATTCTTTCTTAGTTTTATCATCATAATTTAATAATTTTTAGCCCTCGATGCTTATTTTAGCTACTCTTTCCCCTTTCTCGCAACACCGAAATTTCTCATGGAATATTGATCAAATTGGATCTAACTCCATCCTCCACTCTTTACCAGCTAATTATGAAACCCTATTCTCACGTTATTACGGAGCCCGATGCTTCGAATGCATGAATGTTCCTTCCGACCCCGGGATTTGCCTAGCATGCGGAACCTTAGTATGTGTTAAAGATGCTTGTTGCGCCAAAAATACCATTTTCGAGGCCGTTTCAGTGAGTTTTATTAAAAGATTAATCAAAAAAAAGGAAGGGAATTGGGAAAATATAAATTTAAATGAAAAGAGGAATTAATTTTTTTTAATACTTATTTTGTCTAAAGTAGTTCAATGTTATTAATGTTCAATCTCCACAACGAATTTTTTTATTATATCAATTATTATATATAAATTTTGAGGTTTTTATTCTCACGATAAATAATTATATACCTTCCGGTTATAAGCATTCAACTCAATGTGGTTCCGGCACTTCGATTTACCAGATAGTCAATTCTGGTTCTATCCTTATCATTTGCGAACACAGAGCTTGTGTGTGGGCTTCGCTTTATCTTGATTGCCATGGGGAAGAAGATAAGAACCTCAAGTTTACACTTTTTTGTTATGTTCTTCCTCTTTATATTTATAGATAGTATAATTTTTAATGTTTTCAATCACATCAAATCATTTACACAATTATACTATAAAGGAGAGGCAAGCCGCTCTATTTGTGTAATGACAGACTCAGGTATTTGCAAAATATGTACCTGACAGATAGCTTCTTAACTATGGTCAAAAGATGGACATGGCATTTAAACATACTCTGAGTGAAAACAAATGTTTTATAAAAATTGGAAATTTGTTGGATTAAAAAAATATCTATATAATTATTTAATTATTAAACACAAGATTATGATGTTTTTTTAATAAATAATATATTGTGAATAATAGATGCTCGCAGAAAAATTAATAATTATGTTATTGTTTAATTTATTTTGAAAAGGGGGAAATATTCGTTGTAGTATTTTTAAAAAGATTATATAATTGTAAATAAATTTATATCATACAATAGTAATATAAAAGAATTTGAGTATAAATTATTAATTTTATAGTGCATTTATATTTATCATGTAGATAAAAGAAAGAAATCATTTATCATTAATGATGGATATTCGTTACGTTTTTAGTCTGGAAAAAAAAATTCAGCATGCGGCATAGATTAGTAAAAGTTAACAATGCGTTTTTAACTGTCGCCGATAGACGGATCGGTTATTTTTCTACGGTCTTTAGTTCTGACTAATCTTTTTATAAATATTCTAATTATCTTATGCCTAAATATTGACCATAACTGCGTTTAGCGCATACAAATTATTTATATTCATTTCCCCCTTATATAAAACTTATAAGCTTTGCAGGAAAACATTATATTTAGTCCTAAATAAACAACATCTATCAAATATTCTCCAAAGCAGTGGAACGCATCACATCAAAATAAGCAGGCTTTTTAATCAGACAATATAAGCTAACAAGTGTCACATATTCGTAACGACTTATTTTTTATTGTATTAAGCGTTAATATACCATTTTGCATGTTTAATTCTTATTTAAATCCTTATATTTGAACTGAGCTAAATCCCTACAACTAATACCCATTCTACAAGCTAATTTTCCCCAATACCGACTAATAGAGAGACCATAACAATTCTCAGGGCAAGACCTTCCCCACTTGTCTTTAACAAGTTTATGAACTCTTGGATAAAACAGGAATGGAATGCTCCACCCTATTAAGTCCCTCTGATTCAATTCTAAGCACTTAATTATTTTTGTATAGTATGTGTATATATATTTTAACTCGTTTTATCGGGGTGTTCTGATATAGTATCTTCCATTTCTATCTAGAACATTTTATATTTAGTATGTTAATTATTCCTCCTTTTTGATCCAAAGAGGTGTATAAGTTGTACTACAATAGGACGGCGGCAAAAAGATATGGAGTGGATATTATCTCCAATGAAAAGCTGAAAAACAAATTACTCGAAGTAAAGAGGTGTTCGGATTGTCTAATGTGGGTCAAGTTCGCTGATGATAGAGGTCTGCTTTACATTAAGCGCCTACGTCAGCAGGTTAGATGTCAATAGGTGGAAAAGGATGCTTTTCTAACAGAGCTGTAGGTGGCAATGGAAAATATTTCGGAGGAAAGCTAATATTGGGGGTCGATTTCAATGGGTATGTGGGGAACGAAAGGTCGGGGTTTGAACGATTTCAAGGTGGACTTGGCTACGGATTCAGATAAAAGGAAAGAATAAATTGTTACAATTAATCCGAGCATTGGTCAACATTTTTTCCCGAAAAGGGCGGAACATTGGAAACATAGAAGTGGGCCTCATTGAAGTCAAATTGATTATCTTTTGACCAGAAAGAATGATCTTTGGAGGATCAAGTATTGCAAAATTATAGTGGGGCGAAGCTAGAAATCAACCAGTAGTGTTGGAATGTAAAAAAATGATCATTCAAGCCCCAGTCAAGATTAGACCGGATAAATGAGAAGTCGGCGAACGCCAATCATTAGCAATGTATTGTTAGGGAAACGACTGGCAACAATACCTGGATTTGGGAAAACTAAAGGGGCAAGGCGATTAAAGAAGAGATTTTATAGAAAGAGGAGATTATAAAGTGTGCCAGCTAGAAGAAATGACGGTACAAGGTAAGGTCTATTTCTCAAAACGCGAAAAACAGAAAACTTACTAGTGTAAAAGGGCGGTAAATAAATCAGTGACGATACAAATAATATGGCGAAGAAATTAGACTTTAAAGGGGGGAGGGGAGATAAAGTGGATAAATTTGCTAAGAGCAGGTGTAAAAAAAATTTAGGACATTGAAGTCATGAACATTAGAGGAATAAGTTTATATAGTAAACACGAGGTGACGTTACTTTCAATGTTTTCTAAACATTAAAAAATGAGGGGTCAGCTAGTCCCAATCTTAATGTTTGCCAACATTACTGTTTTATAAAGTATGAAATCTAAAAGATATAAAAGGGCAAAACTATGGGACCAGATATCTAAGCATTTTTTGGTAAAAGGACAGGGAAGAAACCTTGACACGATTGTTTAACAGAATCATAAAGGAAGACGAAAAACTGATTAGAGGGAGAACATTATCATACCCATCTACAAAGATAACGGTAATCACCAAGAATGCTCGAATTATATAAAGATAAAGTTGAAAAGTCATACTTTGAAGATTTCTGAAAAATTGTAGTCAGGAGACTACGGATGAACAGATATCCGAAAATCAACTTGGTTTTGTACAAAGACATTCAACCATTGGCCTGATTTTTGCCCAGCAAACACTGATGGGGAGATGAGTAAGGAGTTGATAAAGGCATACGATACCATACCCAGATATCTGATGTGGTGGTGTTTGCAAAAAAGAGAAATTTCGGAGGGTTATATGCAACTCATTAAATGTATGTACGAGGGTTCCACTTCAATAATAGAACGGTGGTTGGAGACTCCAAGACGTTTCGCATAGAAGTCGGTCTACGTTACGGGTTAGTGTTAAGACCCTTTCTTTTTGTACTCATCCTCGATACTATAACCGAGGACTTGCAGAGGCCAGAACCAAGGTCAATGTGTTATGCAGATGATATCATTATGAGGAATCCAAAGTGTTGCACAGAGGGCCAGTGTTTGGGCAGTTAGGTTGGAAAAATGTGGTCAACGCATCACCTCTTTTAGGACAGTGCAGGCAACAAATATTATAGGTCGGCATTAAGGAACAATGCAATTTGCTCTATACCCAAAAGTTGAAAATTTTTTGTTATCTTTGGTCTACAATACATCAAGACGGAGATTGTCATGACGAGGTCAAAGCTAGGATACAGAAGGGTTGGATGACGTAAAGAATCAAATCAGGGGTGCTTTCTAACTATCGTCAGGTCTTGTTATATGGGTGTGAAACTTTGGCACTGCAAGATGTTGGATGTAACCGAAATACATATGATCTGATGGAGCCTATGAAGCATCAAGTTGAATAGTATTAACTGATAGCCTCCTAGCTCCTTGTCGGAAAAGATAAAGGAGAGTAGACTTAACTAATGTGGATACGTGCTAAAAAACTGACTATAAACGTGAATACAATTTATTGCTCTTGAGGTTGTGAGCCAATGAATTAAAGGCAAGTCACGACTAACTTGGATTCCTCAAATCGGCAAGGACATATTTGGTAAATTGTCATTGATAAGGGCCACAGCCAAGCCATATGGAAGGATAGGACCCCTTTTAAATGCCTTAACTAGGTTTGGAATTAACATGATGAACATAACTATAAACTTTCAGAATAGGAACATTAAAGTAAAACAATAGTATTAACTGGTAGCCTCCTAGCTCCTTGTCGGAAAAGATAAAGGAGAGTAGACTTAACTAATGTGGATACGTGCTAAAAAACTGACTATAAACGTGAATACAATTTCTTGCTCTTGAGGTTGTGAGATGAATTAAAGGCAAGTCACGACTAACTTGGATTCCTCAAATCGGCAAGGACATATTTGGTAAATTGTCATTGATAAGGGCCACAGCCAAGCCATATGGAAGGATAGGACCCCTTTTAAATGCCTTAACTAGGTTTGGAATTAACATGATGAACATAACTATAAACTTTCAGAATAGGAACATTAAAGTAAAACAAATTATGTATGTAAAAATATAGAAGAAAGAAAAATCTATACATTAAAATAGCAAGCGGTTTATATAATGAAAAGAGAAAAAAATATAAGAATAGATTGATTAAAAATGGCATAAAACTAAAGAAAGATGGGCAAAAAGTTAGAAAAAAAGCCAAAAATATTTTAAAAAAAATTATTTGCCCTTTTTTGAATAAAAATTTTTATTTTTTGATTATCCTCTTATTACGGGTTTAATATTTTTCCTTTTGATCAAGACTCTTCTTTTTTTTATTAACACATTTCCTATCCGAGAATCGAATTCTAATAAGTATCAAATTAAAAAAAATCGTGGGAATATTTTTAATATTTAATGAAAAATTATGTTTTCAAGACTGATAATCATAAAAATTATTATATAAATATAAAATATTTCAAAATCAATTGAAATTAATTTACAACTCGATTATCTCCTGGCAAGTGGTTACACAGCACAATAAATATCTTTTATGAAAATGTCATGCTCAACGATATCATGATACTAAGCCCGGTATAATATACAAATAATATAATCTAAAAAAATATATGAGGGTAATTCTTCGTCTATTCCTCATTGATAGCACTGTTGGATTTTACGATATCTAATTCATTATTCAAGCCCTCGTTATTGATGGTGTTAGAAATGAAAAACTTGGCAGAATTAGTTTGATTTAAAGAATTATCGTCCATTCCTAAACTTGTGTCAACGATTATGTTATTTTGTGATACGGATATAACTTCCTGATGATCAGGAATAACGTGAAATTGTTCGCCAAACTCCAAGTTTTTATGTGCGATTTCGTTGTTAAGTGTGTTATAATCGGTCTTCTCTTCATAGTTTTGAAAATTGATTTTGGAATTACTAATAACCATAAGATTCGTATTATTTTTAATTATTGATTGTTGGTTTAAGGCTGTATTATTCATGATAAATTCACTATTTTCCATAATCAAATTTTGTAGATTCATGGAATTCGTGTTATCGCTTGAACCGTCCCTGTCTATGTTGACATAATCCCCTACACTCGTAATCGTAAGAGAATCATCTTGACGTTGGTCCGTTTCGATCCCTCGTTTCTTTTCCAATCGTTCGCTACCTTCTATAATCTGATCAATTCCTTCGTTTCCCAGATTATTTGATCGGGTTGTCTCGTTAATTATTTCTAACCCCAGATTATTACTTTCGTTCTCTTCGTTATTTGGATTAGCCTGCTCGTTTTGTTCACCCTGCTGGGGTATGTAATAACAGAGAACTTCGTTACCGTTTTCGTCTTGACATACGAAAAAATTTAATATCTCGCCTTGACCATTATTGTTTGGATCTTCGGGAATGTTCGAATTTTGTAAATTATTTAAGATGATGCTGCTGCTATTATCTGAGGTGTGGTGGTCCACGATGTTAGCGTTATTCAATTGGTTAAGAATCATAGAGTTACTACTCAAGGATTTATCCGTAATGGAGTTTTGTTGTTGGAGGAAAATAGCTGGATCATTATTGGAACAGTCTGAGTTAGTTATGAGATTACCTTAAAAGAATAAGTTATAAAGATTTGAAATAAATAAATTTAAGTAAGGTGTAATATTTTCAACAAAACAAGAATTATAAAGTATAAACAAATGGGCCTTTAGAATTGGAGTTTTGAATGTGTATTATCTCTAACTTTGTTTTGTATAGCATTTTGAATATAAAAGTTGAGTTAGCAAGTGTTTAATTTTTTTTAATTCATGACACGTGCTATTTATAAATTGTTGGTATACAATTTAATAAACAAGTATACAAGTTTCTTGAGTGATGTAGGTTTGGTAAAAAGAGGAGAATAATAGATTTTAAAAGTTATTACTAATATATAAAATGTCTATTGATAGAACTGAGTAGAGTAAGACTTTCAGAGTTCTGAAAAAATATAAGAATACTTTGTCCATAAGGCATATTATCACCCCCAGACGTTCCCGTCAGCATATTAAATGGTAATTGAGACGCAAATTCCTTATTGTTATTAACATTTATGTTTAAGAGATTTTGGCTATTGTTGTTAATGGATAGATTATCGTTAGTACTTAGAACTTGTGAATTTTCGTAATCTTTGAATTTGGTACAGTAAAGGTAAGCCTTGTCCCAGTTGTCTATAAAGTCTTGGAATATCTATAAGGGTGATAAGGATAAAATAAAAAAGTAACTTGAATTTGGTATAACAGTTTTGAAATAAATGATGAAAATACTCTTTTAAAAAATGGGAAAATTCATGAAGCTCACTTTTTATTATATTATATGCAGGCTCATTAAAAAAAACAGTAGATAGAATAGATAAAATTTTGGAATAGTCATTATTTCATTGTATCAAATTTTAAAAAAATTAGTAACTAGTTTCAAGAATTTGTTAAATTAATTATTTAGTAATAAAAAAATTAGGCATACGGATAATTTCCAGGTTTGATTGAACAAGGAAGATTCTAGAAGCTGAGTGGCGCTTATATCAGGATTCTGCTTGAGTAAATTTATCTATCAAGGGTTTATTTATAAAATTACAAATAACTTCCAATAAACGTCATCTATGTTTTTACCAATCATCATTAAATAAATGTATGGATTTGAAATATATTTATCAACGCTATAAAATAACTTCACAATAAGGTGCCCCTTTGGAAAAGTGAGCAACATCATTAGTTACTTTTTTGATAAGTAACAAGTTAAAATTTTATGGATCAAGACTATTAATTTAATAATGAATGGTAGGTTTAAGTAAATTTATACTATCTATATTTACTATTGTTGAAACTTCTTTATTCAAAAATACATTTTATCTTATATTTTAAATTTTTTAGAAAAAACGTTTTATAAACTCATTATTTTGTTATAACCTTTATAAGTTTTCTTATTTCTGATATTCAAAATTTTGTTTTATATAAAAAGAAAGGAATTTAGAAAATATATTATGAACTTGTTTTAATATGATTTTTCTTGTTTTTCACATTTTTACATTCCTATCTTATGAAATAAAAATATAAATTTTAACGAAGTAAATGAGATACTTCACAACTATATTCAAATTTATGTAGTATTTATGGTAAAAGTAACGAGAATAAATCATTACTTTCTTGCAAAATAATGAGTTGTTTTAAATTAACGTTTACAGAACTACTTATAATTATATTGACAAAAAAAAACAAAATATCTTAAGATAAAATATTATTATTATATATATCATATATGATTAATGTTATTTAAATTTGAGTCATAATCGTAGTCTGTAAAAGAGGGGAGTGGAAACGTTTGCCCCTCTTTAGGAAATTTGAATATCTTTTCGTAGAAAATCATTTTAGGCTAATAAAAATTATCCCCATTCACTTTTGTCTTCCCAAAAAATGAATGCAAAGTAGACCTTATTCGAATATGAATCCAATAAAAAATTATTTGTATTCGATTCTTATGAATGAATCGAATAATTTAATATTCGTATTCGATTAATATGATTAAGAATAGCAATTCAATTCGTTCTAAAGAATCGCATATGAACAATTCTTCGTATTCATAGGCCTAATGCAATGATTCACTACTCAATACATTCAAAATTTTCAGAAAAAAATACTTTAATAGTAATAAAAGTGAAAAATCAAAATTATTTTTTAAAAAAGGTTATTTAGTGGGCTCAAACCAATCCATAAAATCTGTGAAAAAACCCCTTATAAAATCCTGGCTGTCCTTATGATTGAAATGATTTAGAAAGGTAACAAACCTAACCATTTACTGATAATATAGGATTACAAGTAAAAAGACAACTGATGATATTAACATTTTTAACAAAAAACATACTTTCTTAATAAAATTGCTCATTAAAATATTAGATATCTATGTATTTTGATAAATGCTTTAGCAAAGCTTTAATATAATGTTTCTAAATATATTTTACCTGGTCTAAACACTTTTGATAGAGCTTGTACCTCATGTGATATAATTTATTGAATAGTTGAGCGATTTCCAAACAATTTAGACATAGGTTTATGGTCTATAAAATAAATTTAAATAAATATATGAATAAACTTTTAATATCCGTTTTATAAGTGTCTAAATGTATAAATATTATATCTACCTCCATCTATACACCTTTTTGATAAAAGTATCTGCTACGTTTTTTATTATATTAATATTTAAATCAAGTCCTATTTTTTGTATTAAATTCATTAAATATCTGTTTTGAAAAGACGAATTTTATTTTACATAATGAATGTCGAAAATATTGTAAATGGTATTAATCATAATCTTTATATAATATTTTTTTTAGATGATTGATAGTAGTGTATAAATAAAGGAGAAATAAAAGAAACAATCAACACAGTATCAGAAAATTTTTAAACTCTGCCAGAAAAGTTAAAGAAAAAAAAAATTGATACAGCAATTAGTCAATGAATTTTCAAAGTTTCCAAATGATATTTTCAACACCAACTTTAAATAATTATTTTAAAAATGACTGTCTTTCTCGTGATTTTACTATAAAAAGATTATCCCAATAAACAAGTGCTAATGCATTAAGTATAACACTCCAGGGCACTTGAAAGACTTTTAGTGTAGTTAAAAATGTGTTTATGAATAAACAGGAATGATAAGTGATAAAAACTTTGATGTTTTATTATTAAAAGCTAACAATCATATTTTATAATCACATTTTATTTATCTTATATGTAAATAAAATATCAAACTTATTTTAAAATGTTTGGTTCATTTCACAATTTGAATTTTAACAAGTCTTTATTGTACTTGAATTAAATCTGTATAGATGCATTTTTAACCAATATACCTGTATCGATACTATTTTGGACAATGTATTTGTATCTAGATACATTTGAAAAGTATTTTAACAACTCTGATTGATATATTATAAACTAGGCAATCATTTATAAACTTTGAAAAAAAATTAATTAATTCAATATAATGTCATCTTTGAAATATGCAATAAATACATAATCTAGTTAGTCATATAGATAAATCGAGTTTTTCGTTCATTCCGTTATTTTATAATATGAATAAGGTATGGCTTATATACTATTATGGTCCTAGATAACTTTCTATAATGATTTATTATTTCAAACTCCTAATCTTTGCCAAAATATATATGTCAAAATGACCTCCATAGGAATTTGTTCTGTCAAGTTATCCATATTTCCGCTTTCCGTATTGTCTTCGTTTGAAACGTTTTCATTTTGGGAATCAAGGTTATGGGTGTTATTTTGTGTTTGTAACAGAATTTGTTTAAGGGTGTGTGGTTCGTAAGGAAAACCATATAGGGTCACTTTTACACAATTTGAAGGGTCGGAATGGCAAGCCTTAATATTAGGGAAGAAAAGTTACACTTAATATTAAATAAATAAGTGTTCCCTTTCTAATTTTCTCCCTTTCTCATTAGCTAGTTATCACCTAAACTTACTCCACTATAAAATCTTTATCATTTGCTCTTATCGATCTTATGTTATTATTTTTTTAAGTATAAGGCGTTATCTCTCCATTTTAAAAACCCCTTAAATCTTAGTATACATTCATATAAGGTAAACTCATCTCCTTTCATAGAAATTTAAAAAAGGTGTGTAACAATATATATATAAATATATATACATCAAATTAATCATTTAATATCCAACCTTTCATCATATTTTGGTCTTAAACTATGCTAAAACCTTATAACATAAATTGAATGTTAGTCAATTCTTTTATAATATTACCTTGTCACACTTGTTACAATAAAAATACTAATCTATTTCTCACCTTAATTCTATGACCCCATTTGTTCTTCCCTAAGGGTATCTAAGAAGCCTCATGAATAACCTCTTAAGACTTTTAACCAAATCCCTTTTACCTTCTGAATAGAGACACTTAGTTGTCCTCTCTTACCTCTAACACCAACACAAAAATAAATCGTGAATTTAAAAATACAACATAAATACCCCCCCCCTCCAAAAAAAAATAAATAAATAAATAAGCAGAATATATGTATAAATTAAGAAAACAACAACTTACAAAACATTCTTTAGCATCGAATCCATTGCTTATTTCCATGTCAGGTAGATATTTAATTAAAGCCTTATTTAAATATTAAAAAAACAATATATAAAAATATGAATGTGCAAAATTATTTTATTTCATTATAAGTAGGTTTACAAAAGGAACAAGGATTCGAATATTGAATGTAGTATTAAAAAAAATGGCAACAATTTTTAATTATTAAAAATGTTATTATTATAAATAATTAATAAATTCTTTTCAATATTTATTAGTGTTCGTTTCATATTCTAAGGATAGACTATTTTTATAGATGATTTTTTCAAAAAAAATTAGTCAGTGGACATATTTAGTTCCCATTGAAAGTTATTCTTTAAGTTGGGAATAATCTCTTTATTTATAACATTTTAGAAATGTATTCTTCTATTTAAAAAGTGCGAAAAGAATTATAAAAATATATGAATGATAATGACTTTTCTAAAAAAAATTGACTTTATAAAATTATGATTTATCATTAAAAAAATTATCCATTTTTTGTGAAAGATGGTGTGCGTTCTAATGACGTCACGTCTTAAAAAGTATGCCCAACAGGACGTTTAACCTATTTTAATATTAATAATTACTAACCAAATAATTTTGATCAGAGGTAATCTTCTGAGAGCACAAAATTAACGATTCCAAATACGTTTTATTAAATTCCTCGATTTTGTTGTATGGTTTAATAAAGTACTCATCTAAGAGAGTGTGTTTATAAAAATTGAAATTATATAAAAAGTATGGGTCTTGTTTTAATGAATATAAATGTTATGGGAGATATTAAAATTTTCAGACTTACAGCTAAAATACTTTTTTTATCAAAAGTACAGTAAAACCTCTCTAATTTGGGCCCTGTTTTGTACCAAATGCCCAACTCATACAGATGCCCAATATATCAAGACTAAAAGTAGTTAATAGGAATTTGATTAGGACTCAAGGTCAAATTAGAAAGTTATCCTAATTTTCAAGAACTCAAAATAGACAAATTTGAATACGGTAGACATGTATATTAATAGTACAAAATATAAAGAAGCATAAACACACTTTCTTTACGATCTTTTCTCTCTCTATCTACTGGGTAAAGAGATGCACCTTGATGGAAGTAGGAGGATCAAGACCTCAAGAAAGGCCAAAATTGACGTGGGTAAAGGTGATAGCAGCGGATATGAGAAAAATGAATCTTACAAATATTGATGCTTAGAACCGTCAAAAAATGAAAGAGAAAAATCAGATGGGAAAGTGGCGAACCTGAGAAAAACTGGAAATCGCTATTAAACGGATAAGATCTATTAGTTCCTTAATTGTGATATTTTTCTTTATCTACTCATCTTTTGATATTTTTTTAATCTCTTTTATGTATTTCTTATACAATGTCAAAAAAAGGAATATTTGTTATATGAAACCTCCGTCTTTCAATACCATTTCCAAAAATCCAGGATGAATGGCTGAACTTAGCAAGAGTTGTAAATAAACATCCGCGTTTTCGGATAAAACGGGGTACTTATCGAGCGAAGTAGAACGAGATCCGGAATCTTTTTGTTGAAAAAATTGTTTAAGATATTTAAGACCCTTTTAATAACAATTATTAAAATTATGTATAAAGAATATTTCGAAATATTTTCATATGAATAAGCAAATTAGAAACATATATTTAATAATTAATATATAATTAGAAATCCATTATAATACCCAATAATAATTAAGATAACAATAAATATTAATTTATTTTCTTATGTGAGATAATTATAAATAAAAATAAAAGGTTAATCTATAATTCTAGCAATAATATAATAATTTCCTAGAAATTCTAAAATAATCAATTGATTTTCTAGGAATTGTAATCTATAAATGAACATATCGATAAGTATTTGTATCAGTTCGGATTTTGGTAAACATCGGATCATTGCTGCCCTATATAAATGAACTAGAGCTTTAAAATACAAATTTAATAAAGAGTATTTTAGGTTTATTCAAAATATGATGACTAACCTTCAATAGAAACGTCTCGGGGGTGATCTCCTGAAGTTAGATCTTTCCTGCTAATTAAATTTGCGTTAGCATCATTTTTAGAATTATCAGTACCTATATTTGATTATTAAAAAAATAAATTATGTTTATAAAGAAGTAATTAGTAAAGAAATACCTTTGTTAAAATTATTTGTTTTCACTCTTATAAATTAAATTATCATTCTCCAAAGGCATAAATAGAGAGGAATGTATTTATTCAACCCTAATTTTTTCATATTGGCTCAATTCGATAAAATTAGTTAAGTAACATTTAGCATGTCTATTCATTCAATATTAAATATTCACCCCCTACTCATCATTTTTCTTAAAAATTAAAGTGCATTTTCCCTTTAAATAGTGACATTTTTAAATAAAAGCTGATGGGGGGGGGGGCAATTATAATAAAAAATTTAGGAAGCTTTTACAACTAGGAGTTTTTGCTGAATGTGTCATTGATTATCAAAGTCTCCTATCTCCACTTTTTTAAAAAATAAATTTATTTACATTGAATTAAACGCATTTATTTAAAAAGGTTATCATCAGGTACTACTTCTTTTTAACATTTAATTTTTCCAAGGTAGGACATTTTGTCATTCAATTAGAAAGCCGGATAGTTTTTACAATCTTTAATATATCACCTCATCTCTTATCACACCTTATAAAGTTTTATTAACCATATATCCGGGTAATTCCATACCAAATCGATAACTTTTCGGCTCAACCTTTTTAATTTCGATAAAATTTTGTATACTGAGAGAATATCATTAGAAAGCATCGAATCCAAAATTTTAGCCTCCTAGTACTCATAGTTCCTGAGATATGAATGGTCAAAAGTGCCAAAAATGACGTTTTTTCGAAAAATGCGATTTTTTAAAATTGAGATAAGTTAAAAAATAATGATTTTAAAAATATAAGTTATATGTCAATTTATAACTCTATTAAGGGCCTTTTATTGAATATTAAAAAAATTTTCAAAATAATATTGTTGCGGTTTTTATTTAAGTTATAAATTTTAAACATGAAAACTCCAAGTGTTTCGCTTTCCAAATTTTTTTGAATTTAATATTTTCTTATTCTCTAACCTTATATCTATTCATAAAAAAAATTTAAACTTGGGACAGCCATGGGTTTTTTAGTTATTGCGATTTAAAAAATCAAAAAATAAATATTATTTTCAAAAATAGATGGCGCTCCTTTATAAAATAACGCGTTTTGTTAAAATTATTATTTTTTTTAAACTTTTTTTCATTTTAAACATAAATAATAAGGTTTTCCAGCATTAATAATTTTAAATTTCGTAAAATTATTTTATTAATTTGTAAATATAATAGATAAATAAAAATTCATGAAAGATATTACTTAATTAATAAATTCGTCTGAAGATTGAGAAATAGTCTCCAGAGTTGTTCTATCTACCGAAACCCATTGTTTAAACGTAATAAGAGCTATATCATTTTTTATAAATAATTTTTCAATGCGTTCTTTTAAGAGTGTCGAGCCAGGACACTCGCTACAGTCACCAAAATAACAGGTTGGTAATGGGGGGTTGCAAATCATTCTGCCTATAACATCTCTATAAGTTGTTAATATATCCTCACCATTTTTAGTCAATGTTGCTAATTCACAGCCTAAAATCATTAGTTAATATTCTGGTGTATGCTACAAACGCATACACTATGTGTTCCGCTAGCCCCTGCCAATATGCAATTTTTTGGTCTTAAGCTTGCGAATTTCGAAAATCCAATTGTTATGCTTGAATTACTCTCCTTAAAATGACTATATAATTCTTTTAAATTATTAAGAACTAGCCTTTTTTGAGCGTTCACTCGTTCCCCCTTTTCAATGATAGATAAGCAATCTTTTTTTCCTGGTAATACCCTACTAACTTTATCACTGCAAAAAAAACTTTTAACAATATCAACTGTTTTGATTGAGATATTTTGCAGGCTTTCGATTTGGAGTTGAAAGAATCCCCTTTTCTTTTAAAATGATTTTGGAATTATATGCCATATGATATGTAGCGTTGAATTCCGTTTTTATTTTATTTGCACTCCAATTAGGAGGCAGAATGGTCAGCAATTGATATTTTTTATTTTTAGATAAATTAGGATAATGTAATTTCATATTGTTGAGTATACCATTATTGTCTTTTGTGTCCGATTCTGGATTGTTAATTATTATATCTGAAAGAGCTTTTGATATTTTTGCTATCTTTTTTTTGGATAATTTTTTTCAGCTAGTTTTTTTTTCTTAATAGGAGATATTCCAATTTCGTTTAAGGTTTAATTGATTGTATCTATTGATGCGGATGCTGTGGGGATATTATTTACATATTCGCTATCAGAATTTATATTTTCAATATTTTTTTGTAATAAACGCTTACGACATTTATCACAAATATAGTGTTCCGCCTCAATGTTTGGAAATTGTGTCATCCACGTCGTAACTTTACGCAGGTTCTTTTTACAATAAAAGTGTTTAGATTCTTTAAAAGGATTTGCACATTTATATTTATACATAAATAATTTTAAGAAAAAATTAATATTTAAATATTTGTAAAATAAAAATTAATTAATATCAAGGCTGGTGCATGAAAACTTGTTATTATCTTTCAGAAATTAATTATATTTTCTTATATAGGAATTGTAACTATCTTTTTAGGAAATTAATCATTTATTATAAAAACTAATAATTTTTACAAGTTATCAATAAAGTAATAATAATAAGTAAGTCTATCAATTGATCTAAATAATATATTTTCATAATATTAATGCTGGAAAATCTTATTATTTATGTTTAAAATGGAGAAAAGTTTAAAAAAAATAATAATTTTAACAAAACGCGTTATTTTATAAAGGAGCGCCATCTATTTTTGAAAATAATATTTATTTTTTGATTTTTTAAATCGCAATAACTAAAAAACCCATGGCTGTCCCAAGTTTAAATTTTTTTATGAATAGATATAAGGTTAGAGAATAAGAAAATATTAAATTCAAAAAAATTTGGAAGGCGAAACACTTGGAGTTTTCATGTTTAAAATTTATAACTTAAATAAAAACCGCAACAATATTATTTTGAAAATTTTTTTAATATTCAATAAAAGGCCCTTAATAGAGTTATAAATTGACATATAACTTATATTTTTAAAATCATTATTTTTTAACTTATCTCAATTTTAAAAAATCGCATTTTTCGAAAAAACGTCATTTTTGGCACTTTTGACCATTCATATCTCAGGAACTATGAGTACTAGGAGGCTAAAATTTTGGATTCGATGCTTTCTAATGATATTCTCTTAGTATACAAAATTTTATCGAAATTAAAAAGGTCGAGCCGAAAAGTTATCGATTTGGTATGGAATTACCCATCCCTTATTCATACTTTCTTCATATCTATTGGAAACAGAAGAATTTAGATTGTTTTCCAGCTCGTCGCCATTAGGAGTCTTAGATATGTCCGTCACGCTGATTAATTCGACAGTCCTACATACTTGAAGCAATATTTGTATTTGAACAGGCCTATAATTTTTGCGGGTTGTGTTAGCCCAACCAGAAAACTATTTTGATTAAATTAAATAATAAACAGGTTAACATGAAAGAAAATCACTATATAATGTAAATGTTTTTCACTGTTTTCTTGTATGACACTAAGGGTAAGTCCAAACTAAAAAAATAATAAAAGATTAACGAATTTTAGCTTTACACGTTCATGACAAATGTTTAATTAATAAACTTTTCATAATATTTTTGAGTTCAAACGTACCCTATATTTAATTTTATCCACCATTCTCTGCAAATAAAAGTTCAATTAATGAACTTTATTATTTCAATTAAAGTTTAAAATTTGGATCCATCTTACTTTTTAGTTAATTTTTAATATTAAAAAAATTAATTTTATATATCTATTACTAAAAATAAATTAATTAAATAAAATGAGTTATCAACATATTTCAATATTAATAGATAATTAACTACTAAATTATCATTCAGAGTTCTGCAAGGGTCAGCCTACAATATTATTAATAAATATTAACTTAGTCCAATATAATTATCAATTTATATTTCTCATTCTTCATTTCTTAATATAATTTCACAATTAAAAAATGAATATAAAAGTAAATAAGACATAGCAGTGGAGATGATAAATGTTTGCGGATATTGGTATTAAATGATTTTTTTATATTTTTCCTGGTGAATAGAGTTAAGCAGTTACGCAATAACATCTTTGAAAAATAATAATAAAAATCCATTAAAAATATAAATATTAAATTGAGTGTTATTTGCCAAAAAAAAAATTTTTTTAAATTAGGGCTGTGCCGATCCACAAATTTTACACCAATCCGATCCAATATTACTAAAAACCGACCCTACACCGATCCAATATATATTGATTAATTTACCATCTATCATTGAATCAATGTCATAATAATATTAATATTTTCTATTTTTAAAAAAATCAACTAACTTTCACTAATGATTATGTGTAGTTTTTTTTTATTCTCCAAAAGTTAACAATCTCATTTAAAATATTTTCAAGGTTCATGGGGTAAATGTGAAATGTATTTAAATAGCTCCATTTGGCCGATTTTAAAAAGGGCTAAATCAAGATTTAGCCAAAATATTACTACTTAAGCCTCGAAATTTCGCCAATAGAAGTCCAAACCTTTCAGCCATATGCGGGCAAAAAACAAGCTTGAGTAATTTACTTTTGGCCAAAATCGTGAATTAACCGTTTTTAAAATTGACTAAATCGAGTGGTTTAACAACACTATATAAATGTGATTCGTTAGATATTTTAAAATCCTTTACTTGTTGCAAATAATATAACAAAAAATATTGAAAAATTTTTATTTATTTTTGTAAACATTACAACGAATAATTTATATTTTAGTTCCTTTCATTGATTTATTATTAATAAATTATTTATAAAATAACAAAAATTATATAATTATATATATACAATAAAAAATATCGGATGATTGGGTTTTTAAATATCGGCCCAATCCAATATTTAATTTCGGCACAGCCCAAATCAAACTTTGGATTTTTATATTTGTAAAAATATTTTAAATTTAAATCTTCTATAAGGCCAAGATATCAAAAAATATGATTCACAAACTTTTGAATTTTATAGAAAAAAAGAAGCTTTTTTTAATATAAAAATGAAAACATGTCCAAATTATAATTCTAGGAAATTTTAAATTTAACATACGATTTCATTAAAATTTTAAAACTTCTGAAAGTTAATTTATTTAAAAAGACTTTGGACTTTAGCCTAAAAGGTTAAAAATACATAAAATTTTGAGTGTTAAGCATTTTCATCGCTGTAAAAATAAATAAATCATTTGTATATTTTCAAACATTAAATTCATTTTTTACTTTTTTTCTTTTATATTTAAGTATAAATAATAAAATAGGGCGAGTTATTTATCTATAAAAAATAAATTCAAAAATCATTTAAAATAATAAGAAAAATTAAATGTGAAATATACATTGTTTAAATGTAAGATCGATCATAAAATAACAAAAAATCAGAGTTGTTAAAGCAGCGCGCTAACTTTTTTGGTAGCTATAGCTAATAGCGGCTACTTTTTTTGTAATTATTTAATTTTTTAGCGCGCTACATTTTTTGAAAGTAGCTAATTTGCTACTTTTAAAAAATATAATGAAGGTAAGTATAAACATGAAAATTTAAATATAATATCATAATTAATTATAATTTTTATGATTTATTATTTAATTTTGAAATTAAAATATAATTTTAATTTGTAATCTATATTTCCATTTGTATTAACCTAAATCACGTGTTAATAATTTAAAATGTCATCGCCTATGGATATCCAAATCGTTGAAAGACATTCAGATAATGATATTAATGAAATGGAAGATACCAGGGAAGAAAATGTTCTTAATAGCTATAATACAAATTTCCCATTCCCTATATTTGAAAATTTTTTTAAATAAATATATAACCAAAACTGGTTTCAAATTTATTTGTAAATGTAAAAAAAATATTTCCTCAAATCAATCCACTAGCTATAACCTCAACACCTAAAGGTAAATTGTCATTTTTACATTGTAATAATATTTATTTTACAAGACTGTTCATAAGTTTTAAGGAAATGGAGAAACATCTAAATAATTTTGGTATAAACGACTCTACATCCAAAAAGACTAATTCAATTCAAACCAAATTTATTAATAATGCAAATGACAATATTTCTCAGAAATTGGCTGTTAAAGTTATTGTTGATTTTATAATTTATACAGTTCAGCCAATTCCTTAGTTGATAATCCATCATTTACCATGATGATTAAAACTCTATCCCCTGGTACAACAATTTTATGCCGCCAGACAATATAACTTTAAAATGATGAAAGATGCTATAATAGTAGAGTTATCAGATATATTATATATATGTACCATGGCAGATAGTTGGACAATCTGATTAAATATTTTTGAGCCTATTTGGGAATCACAGGCCATTGACTAGACCATAGGTAAAAAGAAGATCTGTGGCATTAGCCCTCAAAATGATAATAGGATGCCAGACATACGATGTAGTCGTAAATAAAATTATTGATAATCTATCTTATATTAAAAATATGTATATAAGATTAAATATGCCCTTACCCTCAAGTGCTAGTGTCGAGAGATTATTTAATAAGGCAAAACTTATACTTTCTGATAGTTGCTCTAGACTTGGGGATGATAATATTGAAATGATTTTATTATTAAAATGCAACAAATTACCATAAATATTTATTTTTATTATATAAATTTTTTTATAATGAAAACTAACTATATTTTAATATTTATAAATGTTGATTTTTATATATTTACTATACAATAACATATAAGCAAAAAATAAAAAATTTGTAAATTTTTTTAATAAAAAGTAGCTAATAGCGAGCTACTTTTTTTGACAAATAGCGATAGCGGTAGCGCGCTATTTTTTTTAACAAATAGCGATAGCTGTAGCGCGCTACTTTTAAGAGTAGCGTTTAACAACTCTGCAAAAAATTATAATATAGGATCGATTTTTTTTAAGCCCAATCCAATATTTTTTAAAAAGATATCGGTCCTGAGTTTTTATTTAATATCGGCGCAGCCTTCGATTCGATATTTGAGATCAGAGTTTTAAAAAATCTTTCCTTCGATTCGATATTTGAGATCAGAGTTTTAGAAAAATCTTCTAAAATTTTTGTTAAAATTTTGAAAGATTTTTTATGAATGAAAATTACAAAAATATTACATATAGATTTCGGCCTTCTTATGTAAAATTTCAGAATTTGCTCAAAATTTTTTCAAAACTCTGTTTGTAATGGATATACTAATATAAATGAGATATTTCCTATTTATATAAAAAGTGATGTCAATCGAAAGTTTCTCGATCAATGGGCTTGGGTCAAAAAAGAGTTATCTAATATCCAATGATTGATAAATTTAGAATTAACTGGAAATGAATAGTTTTAAAGGGAGATTTTTATTTCTTTATCTATAAGATACTATATATTACAATCAAAGTTTTTCGGAAAGCTTTTTGTTGTCCATCATTCAAGGTTATGGGTTCGTATTTTTGTAATAGACAAGGTCCATCCACTCTCCACACAGGGCATTCAGGAAATTTGCACACATCTTGTTTGGCTATCAGAAATGCCCCTTTCTGAGTTGAATGTAAAAATATTTAAAGATATATAATTTTTTTTGTGTAAGCTATAAACACATAATGACTTAAATCATATTCAATAGATGAAGGTGGGTGGGGGTGGGGGGGGGGGGGGGGTTAAAGGTATAACGTATAGATATATCAAATAGGCAAGATTTTTCAAAATTCGTTTATATAATTTATATGCTATAAAAATTAATTTAAAGACCATTTGTAATTAAATTGATAATTACATATTTATAATAGAAAAGCATTTTTAAAATGTTTCAATAAAATATTAATTAAGGTTAAATAATTTTGAGATTAAGGTGCAGAATTCAAAAGTTTTAACTTATCGAAATATCTCTCACATATTGATGACTTACTGGAAAAGGTTTGGAGACAAATTTTAAATAACAATACCAAACAAAAAAATGAAAATAAAAGATTTTGTTTTGCTTTTGTTTTTTAGCTCTACCAAACCAGTAATTTTTAAAACATAAAATATAAAAAAGTTAATTTATTAAAAATCAATATTAAATATAATATATCTCTAGTTTCTTGCTTACTATTATATATGTTGTATTCCATATCAAATCAACTGAAGATTCAACCCGACCCCTTTCGATTTTTTTAAAAATTTGTATGATTGTAGTATATACACTAACTAGTAAAAATATAAAATTTTAATTCTCAACTCAGCTTACTTCATGAGATATGGCCATCTTTAGAAACGCGGAAATTCCAAAATACACTATTTAATTTTAAATATCTCAAAAGGTAATTAAGCTAAAGACATGATTTTAATTTTATTAAATAGCTCTAGAATAGCTCTTTAATATGACATAAAATTTATTTTAGTAAAAAAAGTCTATTACCAAAAACTGGAAATAGAAAACCGGAAATGGCTATAAAATAAAAACTGCTCTTTTTTTTCTTTTAAATTTTTTTTACAGATAGACATTATATTTATTAATATTTCTACAAAATCCTAGATTGGGACGAATACTGGGTCAATAGTTATCACTTTAAATATAATTAGTATGTCCTATATTATACCAAAAGAGTAATTATTTTTATTTAAAGTGGGCAATATATGTGAATAATAGCATTAAAACTAAAATCCTAAAAAATCTGATTATTTTGCATTTATAAAATGCTAAAAAACTCAAATCAACATTTACCAAATTGTATTGTATTATTTTAAAAATAACACATAAAACCAAGTAGAATAATTCCGAATGACGTTGCAAATAAAGTAAGAGAATTTTATAATTCTGATGAAAACAGCTGACTTATGCCAGGTATGAATAATTTTATATCCATTTTAGTTAATGGAAAAGAACCAAGTGCAAAAGAGATTAGTTTTATGTAGTGCTGTAAACGTTACCTCAAAAAAGAAACGCGTTACCGTTACTCGTTACATTGGAAAAAAAGAACGCGTTACCCTTTTAAAAAAGGAACGGGCGTTACTGACTTTTCAAAAAAGTAACGTATTACTCGTTACTTAAAAAAATTAAATATTATATACAAAAATATATTTATTTTTTCTTACAATATATAATATAGACAAAACTATAAAAAATAATACATAAAATGATGAGATCTTATAAAAAATTTTCATATATAATATATAATCATAAGATAACATTTTTTTGTAATAATTTTTTATTTATTTTTAGCAATAATTGATTTTCAAAATTTTCATCAGACAAACAAGAGCGCTTAGTGCTCAACACAGCCTTCGCCGTGCTAAACACAAGTTCAATTGGAGCAGAGGATGGGAGGGTGGTATTATATTTAATAAATAAAAATTTTAACTCGGGGAATTTATTAAAAATATTTAAAGAAGTATCTTTATTTTTAAAAAATTTTATAAAACATCTTCACAAGGATTTTCATTAATTTCCTCATCAAAAAAAAATTTATCTTTATCAGAAAATATTTTGGTATTTGTTTTGGATAAGGGAATCAGGTCTGCTCTTTCTCTATCAAGATCTTTTCTCAAAATGGAAATAAGATCTTGCATTCTTTGTTTATTCATCTCTGATTTTATCCAGGGCCAATCTAATTTAAAGAGTGGGTGAATCATTGCTGATAGTATATAGGGTTAAATTTTCTTCATCAGAAGAATCAACTATTATAGAGTTTGGCATATATTCTTAAAATAAATTATAATATAGAATAATAATATTAATATATACTTTTAATTTTGATTGAATATTAGTTAGATTAAAATTTGATTGAAAATAACGAGCGAAAATTTAAATAAGAATGAAAGGAATGGTGGTTGATATGAATTAAAAACTCGGTTTATTATTTATATTAAAATATAAATAAAATGTTTTTTTTAATATTTTTTTAAGAAAAAATTTAAAGTAACGAGTAACGTTTTGCGTTACCGTTACCCAAAAAAAAGAAACGCGTTACCGTTACTTCTAGAAAAAGGTAACGTATGACGTTCCTTTTCTTCGAAAAAAGGTAACGACGTTAGTAACGTCGTTACTTTTTTAAAGTTACCGTACAGCACTAGTTTTATGTAATATAAAAGAATTATTTACCAATTTTAAAGAAATAAACAGTAATATAAAGATAGGTTTTAGCAGAGACCTGCAGAGGTACCATTTGCACGGCCCGGCCCGGTTTTAAATTTTTTAGGCCCGGCCCGGATATTTTTAAAAAAATTTTTACGGCCCGGATTTAAAAATTTAAGGGCCAGCCCGGATATTTTTTTAAAAAAAATTTCAGGCCCGGCTCGGAATTTTTTAAAAATTATATTCGACCTGGTATATACAAAAATTCACCTATGAGGTATTTTACCATATTTTTCAGCGAGTATTATCGCTTATTATTTAAAAAATACATTTAAAAAGCTAATATTTTGAGAATATTATATTGAATTTATAAAAATTATAAAACTGTTATTTATAAAAATGGATATTTTGAGCATATACTATATTTTATATTGCATTTATAAAAATAAAACTAATATTCATAAAAATGGTAATAATATTTGTCATATACTATATTTTATATTACATTTAAAAAAAAATAAAACTAATATTTAATTTATAAAAATGGAAAATATTTTGAGAATATAATATATTTATATTGTATTTAATTTACTATTTAATTTATAAAATAAAAATCGCTATTTAAAATAATGCATGTATAATAATAGTATTTTGAAAATATAATCTAATTGCACAATATTAATATAATTTATTTTATAATATAAATTTTTAACAAAAGAAGATAATTGTATTATATAATATTGTAAAAAAAATAATGAAAAATGTTGGATTAAAAACTTTAAAGACTCAAGGTAAATATAATAAATGCAATAAATATTTGGCAGTTTGCAAAGTAAAAAACCAGCATGATTGACAAAACCCTATACTCAAGAAAGATAAATTCACAAATTATCATGAAGAAAGAGAAGCATATCTACCTTTTCAGGTTGAAGATAACTTCTTCTTTCTTCAAGAATTCTCCCAGTAGTGGAAAAATTAAATTCCGCTCACAGCTTGCACTTAAAGCAGGAATTGCCAATTTTGCTAAAATTGGAAATTCGCTTTAATGAGCCACCCACCACTCTAACAAATTATCCACTTTAAATGTTTTATCTATTATTTATTTAATTATAATATTCATCATCGGGTATTGACATATTACCAGAATTACCATCGCCCCATTTGTCATAAAACGATTCAGTTTGTTTAACAACAGTCGTAATTTGACTGGTCGATGGTATTTCATTTACTTCCTGAGCTTCTTGTAATTTAATATAATCTTTTATATAGTTTTCCGTCATTTTGCGATCTGTCCCTGACTACATACGTAATTGCTTGAATTTGGGACAGAGAAAAAGAGAAATAAAATGATACTTGTGTAAAACAAATTTTTCAATTAAAAAATGCTTTATATTAAGTAAAATCAATTTTATTTCTCCTTTTCGCTTTGAAAGGTATTACAAACTTTAAGAAGTGATATTCCTTTATTAGATTGTTTTGGTAAAATATATTCTAAAAATTTAGATATGAATTATAAAAAAATATATGGGGCTTATTTAAGATATTCCTTTATTTGATTTTTTTGGTAAAATATGTTGTAAAAATTTAGATATGAATTATAAAAAAATATACTAATACTTTGAATAAATTTGCAGGAAATTAATAATTAGATCGATCTGTGGGTTGTTAGGTAGTGTTAACCATCACCCAATATTATATTAATCATAACTATAATATAATATAATTTTATAACCATTAACTCATAATGTAAAAATTTTTATAAAAAATATTAAGGCCAGGCCCGGCCCGGGTTTAACAATCTTAGGCCCGGCCCGGATATATTTTAAAAAAATTTTTTAGGCCCGGCCCGGATATGTTTAAAAAAAATTTTTTTAGGCCCGGCCCTGGACAGGTCTCTGGGTTTTAGCAAGTTTGCTATCATGAGACTAAAAAACTGTATTTTAGCAGGCGGGTCTGGAACGCATACAATGTGCATCTGCACATTTCATCAAAATTTTAAGTAAATTCTAATTGGTGGTAAATTAGATAAGTTAACTGCAAACCAGCATAACTTTCCATTTCCTCCCTTAAAAGATTATAAACACTACATTGCACAAAGTCTATGCAATCCAGCCCAGTCTTGCTGTTACTTAAGGAAATGACAAATGTGTCCCGGCACTTTGAAACTTAAAAAAAAGACTACACTTATTGTTTGATAATAATGTCATAGATTATGTAACCTTTAAATAATGGTTGGCAGCTGACAGTACTACACTCGAAACTTTAACAAGGTCCGCCAACGAATTTGCGGAGTATTTGATTGAAAAATTAAATATTTTAATTCCTCATGCATTTATTTCTTCAGAACAATCTTCATTTTTTAAGTCATTAAAATCGAATTTGAAGGATGAAGAATATCTAATAATATCCGATTTTGCAGAGAACTACGCTTTTGTAGTTCAAGATCACGCTCAAGGTTTTCATTGGACTAATAATCAGGCAACACTTCATTCATTTATGATTTATTACCACGAAGGCGATATCATCAAACATTTAAGTTACGTGATTATGTCAGATTGTATCAAACACAATACTTGTTTCTTTAATTTATTTCAAATAAATTCGATTCTTGAAAGAAAGATTTCAATAATATTTTATTTTTCAGATAGAGCTGTTACCCAGTATAAAAACAAAAAAAACTATGTAAACCTCTATAACTATTATAATGATTTTGGGATCAAGGCAGAATGGCATTTTTTGCAACTGCATGGCAAAACTCTTTGCGATAGTTTAGGGGGAATTACTAAGAGGTTGGCGGCTAGAGCAAGCCTGCAACGTCCTCATGAAAATCATATAATAACTCCTATTGACTTTTATAATTATGTGAGAATCAATATCCCGGGAAATAATTATATATTTGTTTGCAACGTAAAATATTTAAGAATGGAAATTAATCTTGAAAATAGATTTTTAATGGCCAAACGAATTTCCGGGACACAAATATCATTCATTTATTACAATGTATAGAAAAATGAAAGTCAAATTTTATTCTAATTCATTAGATTGTTTATTATATGAAATTATTTAATTAATATGTTTATTACAATATTCATTTCCCATTAATTAGCTAAATATTATAAATATTTTTACAATTATTTTCCTTCTAAAATAAAATGGCCAAACTTATGTGCTAAATATGACACAATGTCTACTAGTGATCTGCATAAGGCCTAATTTTTCTAACACGGCCAAAAAGATTTATAAAAAAATATATTCGGCCCCGATCCCAAACGAATTTCGTAAATTTCTATACATTTTGTATAATATAGGATTTAAGCCATACTACTTATATTTAAAGTGTAATAACTATTGACCCAGTACTCGTCCCAATCTAGGATTTTGTACAAATATTAAGTAGTATAATGTCTATCTGTAAAAAAAATTTAAAAGAAAAAAAGAGCAATTTTTATTTTATAGCCATTTCCGGTTTTCTATTTCCGGTTTTTGGTAATAGACTTTTTTTCAATAAAATAAATTTTTTATCATAATAAAGAGCTATTTAATAAAATTAAAATCATGTCTTTAGCTTAATTACTTTTTGAGATATTTAAAATTAAATATAGTGTATTTTGGAATTTCCGCCTTTCTAAAGATGGCCATATCTCATGAAGTAAAGCGATTTGAAAATTAAAATTTTATATTTTTATTAGTTAGTGTATATATATATACTACCAACATGCAAATTTTTAAAAAATCTAAGGGGATCGAATTGAGAATCGACTTTTTTTAGTTGATTTAATATGGAATACAACATATGCATAAGTTTGATGTTCAAATAATTGTGGGCCAAAATTATATTAATTTATATTCTTCAATCAAAAATTTACTAGGCCCATTTTTTTAAAAAAATATGAAAGAAGAAAATTAATTTTAATACTGGTTGTACCAATCGAATCTTTAAAAATAATTCCACGTTTTTTAAGATAATAAATTTTATAAAATTAATAAAAGAAGAAATAATTTCTTATAAATATATCCACAAAATAAAAATCCTCAATATCTCAATTAAAATATGGGCAATATTTGTGGCTGAATGTAATATTATTAAACAGCTCAATTTTGTTAGTTTTTAAAAACGTTAATTAAGATTGGTTCCCATTCTAAATTACTAAAACAAAAATCGCTAAAAATTGTGAATCACCTTTATGTCAAGTAAACACTTGAATTTAAATTAAGTTTTTTAAAAAAATTGCTAAGAGTGGAGTAAATATCACCCATATTCCCAAAATAAACTCAATTTCCATTAGATTTTATGATATTATTACATAGGCCTCAAAATTTCAGCTATAGATGTTCAAAAGTGTTTCTACCAACTATGGGCAAAATCTCCAAGCTTAGATAATTTACTTTTAGCTAAATTTTTGAATCAGTGATTTTTAATTGGCTAAATCAAGCCATTTAACAACATACTTTGAATGTGATTTATTGCTAGTAGACGTTTTAAAATCATTACTTGTATATATAATAAAAAAAATGTATTAGCTACTCTCATTTCAAAAAATAAAACTTTTTTAATACATTTCAAATAAAATTGATTTTTCAAAAAACATTATAAATAAATTAAATTTTAATTTCTTCTTAGGAATTCATTATTAGGAAATTATGTATAAAATAAAGATATTATGTACATATATATATATATTCACAATATAATCAATAATATTGGATCAGATTGGTTTTTTTTAAATATCCGTTCAATCCAATATTTTTTAAAAACACAAAATATTGATCCTGATTCAGTGGCGTATCCAGGATTTTCTTATGGGAAGGGGGGGGGAAGATTTTTTTGGCCAGGTCTTATGTTTTAGCTATTCTATTAAATTATTCATAATTTAATAACAATTATATTTCTATTTTTAACTATTTACTAATTCGTGCTTATGGATATTACACCTATTTTTTATTATGTTAGATATTATATTTAAATTTAATAATAAAGTTTTTTTAAATGTAAAGTTGAAATAAAGTTTAATGTCATTTTTTTATAAAATTTGCTTTAAAAACTTGCCTAAGCTTAAATTTTCATTTAATAAAAATACTAATAGTAGTGTGTATAAAATATTGACTAGAAAATAATTTAAAAAACAAGTTTTTTTTTAACTTCTTATCAAATACAAATACAAAATTTTTTATTAAATACTATAATTATAAGATTTTTAATTTTCGTGGGAATATTGCCAATCAGGAATTTCGTTTGTCGTTGGAACCAAATCTCTGTGGATATTTAACAGAGCTAACCCATTTGGCCGAGATTCGGAAGTAGTACTTAATAAATGTTTTCAACCTTCTCAAGTTGGAAAAAGTCCTTTCATTCGTATAAAATATTATTAAAAATACTTATTAATTCTAGCTCACTAATAATTTTGAATTTAATAATTATATATAATAATAAAATAAATTACTGTTTAATTTCAATCTCTTTGGCTAAAAATTTTTCCATTTTATTAATATTTTTGAATAATGTTAATGTACTTACAAGGAGAGGAAATTTTAATAAAATTATTTATAAAAAATAAGTATTGTTGGAAAATTGATATTCAAATATTTGTAAAATTTTGATTGTGGAAGGTAAGGGGGGGGGGGGGGTAAAATTTTTATTAACTTAAAAAAATGATGTTTATGAAAACAGTCAAATTTGTGATAAGGGGGGGAGGAAATCCCCCCCATTGGTTGAGCGCCTGTCCTGATTCAATCCAATATTTAATATTGGCACAGCCCTATTTTTAACTTTGGTTAATATAAATATAACCCTCATTTGTCACATATAATCTAAAAAAATAACCATTCATAAAGTTTATATACCCTAAATGCATGTCTTTCTTCATTATTGTATTTCCTTTTATTGTTAGCAAATGTAGTTGATGATGGCATTACACGGTCATTAGAGGATATATCTTCACTTTAAAAATTATGAATGTTAATATTTTATTGTGATTTGTTGAATTGTATATATAATTGTCAATACTTACTCTTTATCAATTTGTTTAATCAATATAAAATATCTTATGCATATTATATAGTAAATAAGATTATATTTTTATATCATCAAAGATTACATATAATTTAATATATATAACTTTTACTTACAATTTATTGATAAAAGTGTCATTGGAATAAGCCCTAGATTGAATAATTGCTGGGTTATTTAATTTTGTTTTTTTAACACTCTCTTTATTAATATCACCAGTGTCAGTTATATGTAAACTGGAAGAACTAGTATCTTTAAATGATATATTCCCTTCTATGTTTTCTGATGAAGGTAACTAAATATAATGAAATTAGATCTATTAATAGAGATAAATAAAATAATTTTATATATTTTGACTATAGGTATTAGAGGCAGGCTATTAAAAAGTAGTGATAGGGAAAATATTATTTTCTTATTTATCTAGCAATATAATATTATCAAATTATATAAAAAAATATTAAAACAAAAATTTATGTAAAAATAGGTGTACAATTTAAAGATTTCATTATAAATTTGAAAATGAATTCAATTCTATAAAATTATTTAATATATATGGAAGTAGTCTAAATTAAAAATAACTTGATTTGATTTTGGAGTCCATCCTGGATCTTTATCAGAATCATATGCATAACTTTCATTATCATGTTTAACATTTTCTACTTCATCAATAATGTCTTTGTTAGGATAATTAGCAATAAATTCGGAACTTGTATCGTGAATTCTATAAGTTATATTTTCTTTAACTTGGATTTCAGTTTGTAAATTTGCTAAATCTTAATTTTAACCAGATAAATTTTTGTATTTCATATACTTAGGGATTTTGGTGGTCTCCCTCTTTTCCTTTTTGTTGATGTCACAGTATTATTATTTTCTTGCATTATACATAATAAAAGGTTAAATAAAATGTAAGCCTATAAATATTATCTTGCAGAAGATATATCAAATTTTATTTGCGCTATAAATAAATAGTTTGGTGGTAGTGTTAGCAAATAATATATACATAAGTTCAGAAAAAGAAGGTTTAAACTTGAAATAGTAATAGTTTATATTTATCATCACCTAAATAATTTTGTGTAGCTGCATTTTAACAATATTTTAAAATTTTGTCGCAAAAGGTAAAATTAGAGGAAAAATTGTACATCATAACACTCACATAATACTCTTAAAAAAATGAGGATAAATATTAATATTGAAAAATATGTATGTCCTAAAATAAATAATATAAAATTTATAATGGTGTAATTTAATTTCTATCAGTAAAATTAATTTATTTTTATCTCAAATTATATTCGTATATACTTGTAAATCATATGAATTACTTCTCACTCACTGTCGTCATATAATATAATACATTGTATTCTTAAATGTGTGTAATACTCATACTTTCATTATTTTTTATATCTAATATTGATACAAAAAAAAATATATCATTACATTTCACTATATTTTTTCCTTGTTATTTCACCTAAAGAAATGTTGGGGTATATTGCCCTTCATCAATCGTCATATATATATTTTATTTAAATTATTCTTAATTTATATTTTATAAAAAAAATCAATGATAATATAATTTTTTTCTTGTATCTATTTTTAACGTTCTATCCATTTATTTTTTATTTCTTCTTTATATTAGAGTTGCTCTATTCTTATACTTTATTTCTCTGTTTTCTAAATTAAAATCAATCTTTTCCTTTTTCCCTCCAGAAATCTATAGAATTATCAGCGTCATTCAAAAAAATAAACTAATTCTATATTCTGATTAGATATATCTACAAGCTCCATGATAATGGCCTTTTCTCTTATATCTACTTTTACCGGTCCTATTAATTTATTATTAATATCTTCCATAGGCGTAGCCATGGGATAGGGATAAGGGGAACCCCCCCCCCTTCAGAAATTTATCACTTTGAATATCATTTTAAGCTAATAAAAAATACCCCCCTTAGTCTTCCCCCCACTCCCTGACCCTCAAAAATGTATGCATATATCATAAACAATAATTTGAAAGAAAGAATGTAAAAGTTGATATTTTTTAAACTAAAACTATTCATCATATATTATACCTTTTTGGAAAAAAACATTTATTTATAAAAAAAGTGAACCAAAAGTGTTTTTAAAGGAATGTAATATAAGCCAAAGACAAGTCTTAAGACAAAAATGAAATATATTATAATTATAATAATAGATCCATAAAATTACTAAATAATATAATATATCAAATATAATTTTTTATAAAATGAGTAATTTTAATTTACTTATCTTAATAAAAGTAAAATATAATTACAAAACTATTGATAAAATTAAATAAAAAAAATTAAAGCATAATACAAACAGTGGAATATTATATGTCGTAGATTTACAGTATATCTAATTTTATCAAATCATATGACAATCAAATAATTTTCACCAATATAGCGAATTATATATTTTACAGAAAACTATAAAATATTGATAAGGACATCAGAAAATATCTTCTAAAGACATTGTGTGATGAATAATATGAAATTTAATTTTTAATACCCTTTTTTTATTTAAAATAAATAGATGGTGTTAAATAATTGAATGCAAATTGTTACTTTATTTATTATCAAGAGCATTGATTAGTAAAATTTGTTAAAATATTAACTGTAATATATTCTCTAACTGTCAAATATATCTGTAAAAGTGGAATTTTACCTAGTATTTTGTAACCAATTCTATATAATAGAGGTATATCAACTATATGTCAACTTACTTTTTATAAATAAATTTCTTATATTTGTTTGGAATAAATTATTAACATGCTATATTAATGTATATACAAGTAATTTATTATATTTTATACAAACTAATAAAAATATATTTCATATTTGTTCCAGGCTTATTTTTTTTATTAAAATTAACCTCCTATCTTGTAAAAGTATTTTATGACTATATATAGATTAAGGTAACCCGGCCGAAGGCCGGGCAGAGGCGGGTCAAAGGACCAGAAATTTTTTAGCCCCCCCCCCCTTATAAAAATCCTGGATAAATAGCCAATCTAATGGATTAAACTTGTGCTCTTTTTATTCTCCAAATTAAAATTATTCCTTTCCTTTTTCTCTAAATCCAATACTTTATTGTAGAAGATGTCAATATTTTCAATTATCATTCAGGAAGCTTTCTACGTATTCTATTTCTTAATTTGACTTTTTAATATTTAGATATTAATTCAATATACTTTATTTAAGATATATTGCTAAATATATATACAAAATAACATATAAATGTAAATATAAAAAATATTTTATAATCAGGGAAATTGAACACCATGTACAGAAAACTTGGGAAATTAGACAAGGGATAGAAAATAGGTCCCGATTACTCATAATATAATATTTAGTTTTATAAATATTTGCTAAATTCTAATTTCAATATCCACCTACACTCAGTATTATTGTCAAAGATTAAAACCTTTATAATTTAAACAAATAAATAATTTAAATTTAATATTTCCTAAGGTCTCAATGCAAAAACGACAAGTTAAAAATGGGTTTTTTTGCATTTATGGGGTCACTTGACCCAACATGTTTCTAGTATGTTAATAAAAAATATTAACAAGTTACGATAATTTCCCAAACCCCATTCTTTAAATATCGGTCCGGTTTTAAATTAACATGCAAGTGTTAAGAGTTGTTGGAATTTTATCACTGTTCTAAAAAATAGCTCAGGTTCGTTGGATTCCTTGTTGAACAATTTAAAAAAATATTTGATAAAAAACTTATGCTAAAACTATATTATTATTATTGAATAACTTACCAATTTTTGAACTTATTCATCATTTATGTTCTAATATTAAAAAAACATTTTAATTAAGAAATTTGATAATTTGAACATAATTTATTATCAGTTTTAACTTATTGGAAATTTTCAACAGTTCAAAATAGTTTTCCTACCAGATGGGAAATTTTTTTTTTATAATATTAATTAAAAACTCGAAGATCATATGTTGGTAATGAATTAAGAAAAATGATATAATATATTCAACAACATTGTAAATTATTGATATCGATTACTGACGATATTAGGCATATAGCCAGGAATATTCTAGGGAGAGGGGGAGGGGGTCTTTTTTATATATTTAAATGGTATATTAGAATTTTTTTTGGTATATTATAATTTTATTAGAACTAATCATCATATAAAATTTGTAAAAACCAATTTTAAATAAATGTAAAATATAGAATGAAACATAAAATTTAAAAAACGGGCCAGGTCGAATATTTTAAAACAAAATATATTAAATCGCCATTATTATCTATATAAATAAAAAATAAATACAATATATTTTAATAAAATTATGATCGGGCCAAGCATCCATCATCTACATGACAGGATTTTCACAAGAAGCAAACCCCCTTTAAAAACCTATGCCTACCCCCTTAAAAAAATTTACCGTCTTATACGGCGATGTTTCCCTATTTTTAATACTCATTTTTAATTATAATGATACTCTATCACAAAATTTAAAAAGGATAACTTCAAATATTTTATCTCTACTACCAACTATCTACATTTTATGAATATGGAGGAGTTATTTTTTAGATAATAAATTCAATTAAAACCCCCATCATTATCAATGAATTCATTATTATAGCGTTATAAGCTTGCTGAAAATATCTAAACTTTTTAAATTACGTAAGAATAGCAGAAAGTTTTATTTGGAAAATAATGTCTAAGATTGTTTGCAAAATATAGATTTGGTTGATGAATTGTATTATAACAGGTCTAAAATAAAAGTATTAATTTTTACAGCAATAAATTTTGTCCTATTTGTTCTCAAAATTTTATAGATAACCCCCAAAAAATGTATCCTACCCCCAATAAAGCCGCCTACCCCCCTCAAAAATAGGATGCAAACTGTTCCTACCCCTCCCCTCTCGTTTATGTAGCCACTGCCAGCATCTATATGACAGAATTTAACTGAATGCAAACCCCCTTATAAAACTTATGTCTACCCTCCTAAAAAACATTATTAATTACATCTTTTTAATTATACTGATACTCCTTTCATACATTTAAAAATAATAACTTAAATTATTTTAGCTCCATTTCACTACCAACTATCAAAATATTGTGAATATAAAAGAGTTATTTTTTAGATCATGAATTCAATTAAATACTCCCTCATTTACAATGAATGCATTATTATAGCATATTGTTTAGCGAATATAAGTTTGCTGGAAAGTCTGACCCTTTTAAAATACATTTAAAAGGATAGCAAGTTTTATTTGGAAAATAATGTCTATGATTATTTGCAATATAAATATTTGGTCAATGATCAGCAATATCATTGTATTATAATAAGTCTATAATAAAAGTATTAATTTTTAATGCAATATATTTTGTTCTATTTCATCTAAAAATTTAATAGATAACCCTCCAATAAATTTATCCTACCCTCTAAAGGTACCTACCCCCTACCGCCCTCAATATTGGAGTTAAACTGTTCCTAACCCCCCCCCCCATAGTTCATGTTTACGCTGGTCGGGCTGAAATATTTTATTAAAATCCAACACGGGCCGTGCCATGCAAATGGTACCTCTGCAGGTCTCATATGAGATACTAAATATTTTATATATAATAAAAAGCGTTATGTTAAATTTTAGAAAATCTAATCCTGTTTTTAAGAAATTTAAATTATTTTTTAATATTTTCACTAAACGCGTCTATAAAAACCCCTTTCTTTCACCCTTAATTTTATTTACTCAATTTAAATATTACCCGAAATTGCGTACCTCAAAGACGTTCTAAAGCTCAAAGACGTTCTAAAGCTATATAGAAATAGATAAAATTATAAGACGAGAACTTTTTTTAATTAATAAAAACATACAATAATCATTTTCGAAAATAAATTTACCAAAAATTTAATAATAATATATCTCCTCTTTCTATGTTATATAAACTATATATATATATAAAACACCACTTGATTATATGATTGAAGTGTTATAATATA